AAAATTATATTCTTCGCTGAAAAATTCATTTTGTCTTTTCCATTTCTCAACAATTTCAAGAGATAGCATTTTTTTAAAGTTGTTACTCTAAGGAAGTCGTTACTTCAGTGAAGGAACAAACTAAATAACTTTTTATCTATACTTAAAATGCACGAGTCTTTTCGGAAGTTTCATGCTTTTAATATATGCTTTCGATGATAAGCGCCCAATATAGGACGTTTGTATTCATTTAACTCCTGAAAGGCCAGACAATGCTTTGTTATTGACGGCACACTGATAATAAAGCCGCTGGCTGGTTGGCTGGAGTGTGCGCTTGCATATTTTGCTTGCAATGAAGACGTGGCACGTGCAAGCTTCTGCCTACAGCCTGACTTGTCGGCTTGTTTTCTGCAAGCCTGGCACGCATCATTAGGATTTTGTAAGCCGGTGGTATGTTTAATGGGGTCGCCTGCCGAAGACCACCACTGCCCTGGATGTAATGGACCATCATGATCCCTGCCTTCCGGAACGTAGCCTTCAACACTTCAAGCCGTCCGTATCCAGGCCGTGGGTCGAACCAGCCCTCGGTCGAACGGTCCCTTGACGAAGGATGATAAATTTTGAAACAAAACTATGCTATCTGAAACATAACCTCAGATGCGGTGAACGTAAAATTACGTAATTTAACGATGCCTGGAAGTCAGATTCGATCCGCGGCCTGGTGGTGCACGGCAGGTGGTGGTCAAGGCCGGAGGAGGACAAAGCCGAGTGGTGCACGGCTGATTGGTGGATATCCGGAAAGATCCAAGGCGTTCGATTCAGGGCTTATTGGTGCACAAAATGGTGGTGCACGGCTGCGCTCCCGTTAAATGTTTGGCTACCGTATGAAAATATGTAAGTATATATAAAGTTATGGATAAACATAGTAGTTAAATCGCTGATAATTGCATAATTCGTGTATTAACTTCAATTTTTTCCTTCATATTAGAGAGTAAACTCAATCGAGCTTTATCGATTCCGACTAGTTTCAATCTTCCGTCTCAGTCGAAGCGCATTCAATAGGCAGAAGCTCCCCTGTATTATTAGAATATGGCCAAGCTTGCTCACGACAATGCATATTGACGCTGAGTCCTTCTGTCAACACGTTATACAATTCTGAATCTTAAAGCAGCTCAGTTCTCCCGGTGATCTAGGGAGTCTGTGCAATTGCCAAGTTATTCGATCACCGTGCATTACGAAAACTTCTGTTCGTTGTTTTCTATTGCTATTTCACTTGCACTATTCACTCGTTGGTGAAACTGTTTTAACGCTTCTTGCGGGGAATAATCTGTTTTTGTGTTTAAATTGAATTTTATTGTTCACGTAAACTTGGCATCTTTTTTGCAGCCCATTAATAAAAAATCGAAGCTCAAATCAATAAGCAAAAAAAATCCTTTGTAGAAATAAGAAATAATTCAACCACTTTTGCGGTAACTTTAGATGTGTGCACATTGCTTGGATCAATATCATGATGTTTTTGTTCATTTTCATTTCAAATTTGAGCATATTCATTCATGAAAGAGGGTTGCAGTAAAATGGTGTGTTCAGCCTCCCCCAATATACAGAGAGGGAAACCCGCCCATGTTCACGAAACACAAAATAACTCAAAAGATTCTGAAAGACATTCATGCAGTAGAGAACCCTCAATTAATGAAGTATAGAGACATACTGGAGATTGAGATACTGCCGGACACTTGGATACAGGACATTGAAATACATCTGGACACTGGAATGCATCGATATATTTTCGAGTTATTCATTGACAAATTTATAGCAACATAAAAACAAGCAAAACACTCGCAAAAGAAACATAAATTTTGAAGAAATATTGAAAAGACAGAATGTACACATTGGCTTAGTATTTTTACTTCAGCCATTAGAATATTCCATTAGACCATAAAACTGGAACAAAATATCCAAATTCTCTTCTTTTGATTATTATTATCAAAGAAACTATATAGCTTGCCGAGGACTTCCGTTGAACATTATAGATGCAGCGGTTATTCAAATAACACATAAATTTCGCTTATAATAACGAAACTCCTCTGAAGCTTTCAATCAAAAGCATGGTGTTTATGGAAGTGTAGCTTGTATTGCCAGACTTCGTTAGGTTTTTCTCTCGGAAGCCTCGGTGCGTGAATTAGTTTATTATTGTTGCTTTTATTCCAGTCAAAGCTTTTACGTTTTTTAATTGCGCTCAGCACACAACCTGACGAGGGCTCAAGTTCCGCCTTGAGGATCACAGGCACTATAACACCGACTTCAAGCCCAATTCTCCATTCCAGTTTTCGGCGTGAAAGTTCCAGAACAGAATCATAGCATACCTATTATGATTTTGCTGAATTTATAGAATTGAATTTGCAAACACATCATTTTGCTGCAACGTAAGAATTTACCAGAAAAATTCAATTTTCTTGGTGCATTTTTATGGTCGTCAAGATGAGAATTTCCCTTAAACAGAAATAAATATGTTAATTTCCCTGCTTCTAATCTGCCGTGTTGCGCTTAAACAGAAATAAATATGTTAATTTCCCTGCTTCTAGGTCTATTTATCAAATAGGATCATGATGCCGATGTGATATTATATGGAAAAAATGAAAGACCGCGATTCCATCTTTAGCTTGCGTGTGTTTGGGACCCTCTTAGTCCATAATTGTGGTGTAAAAGCCGTCATAAAAGTTATAAACCATCTGCGGGCTAGAGGAATTATGTCAGAATATTAACTCGGTCATGCATGAGGCTGATCAAGTATAAGTAAAGTATCCTCCTTTACCATATGGCATGAAGAGCTGCTTGCTCAGAAGCCGTGTACGGAAGTCATGAAAATATAATATGATGTATTCGGAACAATAAATATTTTTAATTACTTCACATTATATCAAAGAATCGTAAATATATGGCCTCTTGCAAGAGGTTATGGGAAAACGCTCCCGCCTGGCACATCATTATCTTTATGCATGCAACCATAATTATTTCATCTAACAATAACAACAGATTTGAAAAAGTTGCATTTAAAATTGAATAAATCATCAAATTGTTTGGACACTTGCGTTAACTCGCCGAAAAACTAGAATTGCGTCAGGACTTTGATTGCTCCGGCAGCTCAAACTTTCCTGCTAGGCAGCCCACTAAAACCTGAAAACATGTCAATGTCGGATAATTTCACACGTTCCTTTTAAAAAAAGAGAGAGTTTTGAAAGTTTCATAGACTCGTCGTGTTTGAGCTCACCGGGACAACCATCTGAAATGAACAATTTTACACTTGATGGAATACGAACAAGGGACCGCATCACCAGAACATGACATTCCAGCCCGCAATCATTTCATTTAATATGATGACATTATGTGATAGCAAATTGGAACTCGATGGTATTGGTTACGCAGGAAATGAAGTTATTTTTAATAATGTTATCGAAGCCGAGCATGTTTCGTTATCACTGACACGCCTAAATGACTACGACTCCACGCAATTAAATTATTCAATTATTTGCAATATTATAAATGAGACACGAAATTATTTATATACGAAATTAGATTAGTCGTGATATAGCAATAATCGAATTATGCTTTGCAAGTTTTTTTTAATCGTGGGAGGTATGATTTCGAAATGGGCTATGAATTTCAATAAGAGTGTCTGTTGATGAAATGTCACCCAAAGCGAGGAATTTTATATGTGCCATAAAATTTGTTGAGGCATACTTTATTGCAGACCATCAATCATACTGATAAAGTATGATCAGTCATGAATCATACATCAATCTTAATTAATATCTGGACATTTAAACAGTTAGAACAGGTAAAAACTCACATCCGCATTATAGTACCAACAACATCCCTTAATAGAGGCGTTGAAAAAGTCCTAAAAACTTGAGAATGATTATCGAAAAATGCTAAACTGAGAAGAAAACTGTCGTAAAAGTAGACTTATTTGTTCAGATACCGAACAAATACTGGTAGTTATTTGTTTAAATTTTGAGGTTATCTGACGTCAATACCAAAACGACCAAGAGAAACACCATTGCATCAAAACATATAATACCAATAAACATCATCCAGCGAGATCTCAGCTAGTTAATAATTATTATAAATACCAATTTATGTACATTGATCCACGGCGCTGACATAGCTTGCCATATGACCCTCTTACCATATAAAAATCTCTTAGAGCTTCTAAGCCGCAAACCTCGTGATTGTAACTACGCGGGCTATCTGCAGTACAAAAATTTAAATTCAAGCCATTTTTATTCCTACATGAGAGAAAATACTTTAGATGATAAGTTCCGTATTCAGTGCCAATGGATCATCAAAAAATGAAATAATATAATATAATCTATTAAAATATAATATAATANTAGCATCTATAATATTTTCAACGTTAATACTTTTCATTTGTTATTTTCGAATATTGTTAATATATTACTCGTATGAGAGGTAAAGCGTTCTCACTAACTTATTTTCAATTACATATCTTCACTAAGCGAACTTCATACGAGATTAATTAAGTGCTAAGCATTATTACCTGCTTTATTGAGAGTTACACGGACTGCGAACTGCCGCATCTTTGCCATCGTCAGGACGGATGTTCGCTCTCATTTTCTGTACCTCTGGATGAACTCACGGGTATGGCAACGTCCGAATATCTCCTTGTTTTATTTTTACTCTCAGTATTGAGTTTAGCTGAAATAACTATTGAATGTTCATCGATAAATTTATCGGCATTTGGAGCAAAGCCTACATCTTCCTGCAGTACCTTAAGGCTGTAGAAATTTTTATCATTTCTGGTTACAGATTTTTGAACTTCACTGGATCTATGCAAATGGTTCATAAAATTGGTTTCCTGAATAACAGATTCTCGAGGACTATTGCTAGATCCATTTGTACATTTTCTCCCCACAACTTCACTCGCACAGTCCTTCTTAAATGACCATTCATGATTTTCTTCACCTATTGTTGTGGCGTCAGTCATTTGCAAAGTGCTCCTGTCACCAAAAATGAATTCCGCGCTGCGGGACAGCGGCGCAATGCTCCTGGTTTCCGTCTCGAGGAAAACCGCGGATCTCCTGCAATCGCTCGAGTCTGTCGACGATGCGCTGACGGCGGCGCGTCTGGCGACCGCGAGGTGGCGGGACGGACGATAGGCGCCCGCCTGTGCCGAGCTCTCCGTCCTGCTGGCCGGTCTCTGCGGGCTCATTTTCAGCACCTAGTGGAGAGATATCGATATTGTTCAATTATTACAATAGAATTAAAAATGTGTACATGAGAGTAAATTTATTCAAACATATCATCAATGATATACCTTAATAATCCGCATTGAAGGAATTTTAGAAGCCATTTGAGTATGATCACGATTTTTACCTTAATATAATCTCCGCTAACATACAGTACAACTAACAAACTAAAGGATGATGTTATTTTTTTAGGCTAAAAATTATAAGAGATCTCTAAGTTTGTTAGAAGTATTACATGTGATTTCCATTAGCAAATGTAAAGTTTCATCCTGCAACGTCACCTCGTGTTTATGAGCGGCGGCAGCGGTGGGATCGCTGACGGTGAGCGAGATGCCCTCCGTAGTCTGGCGGAGGGCGGACGCAGAGAGCGGACACCGCAGCAGCGAGCGCCATGCAGTCCGGAACTGAGACAGTGTATAAAATTTGCAGTACTTAAATGATTTGTTTTTATGATAAATGTCTCTGATGAAACAGTGTATCGAGCGTTTGTATTGCATCAATATGAAAATGACAATTTGGTCGTTTTGCATGGTAGTTTAATTGGGTTTCGCGTTCAGAGTATTTGTGATGGTTTCCAGGAATTTTAGTTTACCAATAGAAAATAAAAATGGAATACAACAGCGACAGGAAATAATTCTGCATCCTTTCGGCTGTTTGCCCTATTCAAATCGTAATTTTTCATTAATTGATCTTAAAAACTGTGTCTAATAATCAAATGGGTAATTTTTATCCATTGTAAACATTCATCAGTTGGGACAAATTAGTTCTGTGGTTGTGAAAATTTCAACGGTAGACTATGTTTGACAAGAACTGGTAATTTATACCGGCCAAGAGCTTGTGCTTGCACTCATAATGCTGCTTCAGATGACATTAATTCATCCCCCATAGGCTGCTGAGCTCATAATAAATACCTCATTTCCCACTACAAATACATGTCGAAATTGTGACATGAGCACTCATGAAGAATAGAATAAAAATGTAGGCGCTGAACAAAAAGGCGCATTGCCTGATGCCAATTTTTGTACTTTTTGTGACTTGATGCACAGGAGATCTAAAACCTGGCATTTTATTGGTTTTGGCAGACGTTAATTATTGGTTTGAGCTTGCTAATAGACTTTTTATCAGGTCCGTGCTAGGCATTTCAAGACTGAACATATGCTCTTGCATAGCTTTGTATAGTCTGTTCTTGAAGGCGTTCATACTCGGAGTGTCAACGATGCTATCAGGGAGGCGGTTTCACATGTCGGTGACTCGAAGCGAGAAGAAATGTTGTCGCATGGATGTGTTACAACGCAGTTTTTTAGTTTCTAGCCGTGGCACCTGGTGTTGGTTCTTGTTTCAAATTCTAGTAATCCTTCTGGGACCTTGTATAAACCGTGGTATACTTTTGACTTCAATGAGGTCACCAAGTAGACGTCGATAATTAACAGAGGCTTGGAAGCTTCATAATCTTTGATCTTTTTCCACAAAACTTGCCCTTTAATCCTGGAATTATCCTTGTTGCACGTCTTTGAACACTTTCGACTAAATTTTTGTCCTTTTCTACCTTTGGTGACCACACGGCGTTTCCAAACTCTAGGTTCGGGTGCAAAACAACGACAAACAACTGCTATATCGCTTCTGCATCTAAGTACTCGTAAGAGCGTCTGATCAGTCCAAGTCTTTATCAGTCAGACCATTGGCTTTGTTAACTTGAGCTTCAATATGCTTAGAAAATTTTAACTCCTTGTCGACATAAATTCCTAAATTTTTCCGTGGCTGAATTTGCGATCAACATTCTCTCGTTGCAACCATGCCTTCTCATATTGTTATCATGCTGTTCATTGTTCTTACCAAGATGAACTTTACACTTACACTAATATAATATAATACACGTTAAACTAATATAATAAGAGTATAATAATTATACTGACACTAATATAATTCGCACTGTTATGATCGCAATATCGTATAATAACTATTCGTTTATTTGAATCTGTATTTAACTTTGTTATTCTGAAAATTTCTGAGCTCATCTTAAATTTTCTTTATTTTCTTAGCGCATTTTTCTCAATTGTTAGTCAGACTTAAGAACTGAACAAATGGTTATTTTGAGAAGGACGTGTCTGTCGTTAGGTAGAAAATTTCGATAGGAGATAGTCAGTTAGAGGAAGCCGATTGTGGAAGTTATATGTACACAGGGTAAAGTCTATGAGTTCACCGTCTAAAATTACTGGGTCTTGTTTTATCCTCAAAAGGCAGTGTACTACCGAACTATACGATCACATAAGGTTTTTATAAAGTGGTAGCCACGTGTATACAGCGGAGGTGTGTGCGCCACGATAACGTCAAACTTATCAAAAGGAATAAACACTTGAAGTTAATTTTTTTAATACTAGCTGCTTGAAAAGGCTAGCGATCACTATACAAGGTAAATTAAGCATAATAACATGCATAAAAGTTTAATAACATAAAAGTTTAAGAACAGGACCATACCATTGGAAATAAGTAAGAGCTGACTACTGGACTTATTTTAACACGTAGCATACTGAATAACTGACGGTTTTGCAAGCTAAACCCATCAATCACAGACGAGAAATTGGTCGCTACGTGTACACACTTGAGCAAGCTTTTTCTAGTATGGCCCCTGATGAGGTAGAGCTGCATAGATAATTTAAAAAAATTTCTAATACAGTTATCTTGTTTCTTATAATTTCTATTACAAGTCTGGTTCCTTTTGTTTTGTGGTACAATTAGCAATCAGAAAATTCATTGATTGAATTGGACAAAAATTTGACTGAATGGCCATTGAGCTTCAAATATTGCTTGCACTTATATTTTACAGAATTTTTTTTATCAATATCTATATTATTGATCGAACTAAAGTACAACACACAATCTTATAGCCATAATGTCTTTCATGAGAGCTGAAAATTGAGAGATTGTACTCTTAGCGTGCATGTATAGCCGCTAGCAGATGAGAAAGTGTAATCAACAGCGCATGCGTCACTTTAATAAGATAAGAAGTGGTTCTCACAAGCGTACATAGCCGTAATAATATGATAAATTGCACTCACTTGTGTATTAAGGCCCACATAAATAATAGGGTTATATATGCAGGAGCTCTTGGCAAAAATGGCAGGAGCGGCGTTGAATGCTGACTGGCTGTCGACCGGCGGGCCGTAGGCCATGACCACCGCCAGGACGGAGTACGGCGTCCACGCCACCATGAACGTCACCGTCATCACCGCCACCATCCCCGCCACCCGCCGCTCTGCCCGTGACACCGCATGGGGGAGGCGGCCCGCCTGTGAAGCAATCAGGGGGAAACTAAAATATCAGGATCGTCGTGTTGAGGAAACAGGAGACTAGTCGCAGTAGACATCCACGGTACTGACAACTGCCTGATGGAGCACATGTGGAGCTGGTCAGGCGCGAAGGTCTTATCCTCCATTTGTAGAATATCCTCCATTTGTAGAATATCCTCCATACGTAGAATATCCTCCATCTGTAGAATATCCTCCATACGTAGAATATCCTCCATATGTAAAATATCCTCCATATGTAGAATATCCTCCATATGTAGAATTTCCTGCATATGTAGAATATCCTCCATTTGTAGAATATCCTCCATATGTAGAATATCCTCCATATGTAGCATATCCTCCATATGTAGAATATCCTCCATATGTAGAATATCCTCCATATGTAGAATATCCTCCATATGTAGAATATCCTCCATATGTAGAATATCCTGCATATGTAGAATATCCTCCACTTGTAGAATATCCTCCAACGTGGGACATGAGCAACACCCCGTTATTCCAACGAGCGCCACTGGACGCTATTTCAAACCAGCAAGGCCTTAATTTACATATCTCAAGACGGTACATTGTTAGCCATAATGAAGGCCCTTGCAAATGAATTATTGCGATCATAATAAAAAAGTACAAAATTATAGAATCGCTATACATCTCAGACAGGCAAAACACTAAAGCCGTCAAGATTTAGCAAGCAGAAGACGAACCAATAACTAAACCAAAATTCCAGGTGAACGTTGGTTTAATTCTTTCATGTTGGTAAATCTTTCACAACGTCAAGGAGATCGAAAAAAATTAAACATTTATCGATGATAAACGTTGGAGCAGTGGACGCAGGCCTCTCGAACGACATATTCGTGTCGACGTGATAAAGGTTGCAGTGCTGCCCCTACGCGAGGTAATAAAAATAATCGATATTGCCCAGACGTGCCTCAGAACCTATAACCTGTACATATATAGTTTGTATTTAGCAGGCAAACTCCAGCGCGGCAGACACTGAAAGCGTTCTGCAAGCAGCTCCAGCGCCGAGGTTCACCCGGGCAAAAGGATCAGCAAGCACTGCGCGGGAGGTTGTGTTAAAAGAAGAATGGTAATCTCAGTAAGGTGGATTAACCCGATGTAGCAGATTCGCCCTGGCATGGTGGGAGGTTATTGCGGACAGCGGATAGCAGCTTAGGATGAAGAGTTTCGATCTGGTGTTCTTTTTTGGTAGCCCCAGACGGTAAATTTTGATAAAATATTAAATAATAATTTTCCCGGCTTTTCTAACAGCTTCCTTCTTTACTTATGTTCATCAAAATTTAAAACTTAATTTAATTGTAAAATTTTATGCACGGTTGGTATATTGATTAAAGCCTCAAATAACAACAATATATTTTCACGCATGTAACTGCAAAGACACACAAAATTTAATTCAGAATTTGTTTGTATGTTATTTCAAACGCGTTTACGCATCTTTTTCCCTAGATATAAGTGGAGCTTTGCTTCACATCAAATAAAAGTTGGGTCACTCGAGGACAGTTTCAAGCTTTTCGTGGAGACGAAATATCAATTGGCCAATACTTGGTTGAAGTGATACACTGATCCCGAATAAAAATTCTGGCATTCAATCTTTACTATACAGCGACGCTTCTCCAGCCTCATGCAAACGCCGATGTGTCTCCTCCAGTGAACGACGGTGTGTGGAGCCGAGGGATACCACTCATCCCGAATAAAAAATTTGGCATTCAATCTCTACTATTCGGCGACGCTTCTCCAGCCGCATGCAAACGCCGATGTGTCTCCTCCAGTGAACGACGGTGTGTGGAGCCGCTAACTTTGCTTGATCTAAAAGCCAGTGGTCGATGGGAGCTTCCTAACTTTGATGCCAAAATGCGTAAGTTTTACAACGACTAGTAGGATTGCCGCGTCGATGTAATCTTTTGAAAGCTCTTGTCTAAGCCAGACAGAAAGTCCAAGATTATCTTCTGCCGATCGAGAGGCTCAAGCTTCGCGCGCGTCGCGGTGCCACATAATAAGTGAGAAATTCGCAGAGATTCTTTCTGACGTCATGGCGGAGTGAAGGCTCGAGGAATTTACATGGATTAGAGCTAAATTTCTCAGGATTAGTTGAAAATTTGTATTAATTATATGCTGCAACAGCGAGTTTCAAAAGAATGAGCGAATCTTTTAAAATGTTACTTTTTGAGTTTAGGGATTTTAGTCGCATCGGTACGGAAAATTTCTCTTAATTGGCCCACGTTTACGTGCAAAAATCTAAATAAAATCAGATGTGCTACTATCTTTTCCTACTCAAATTTGGGATTGTTTAAACCTTACCCCACAGCGCCCCTAATAAAACTTAATGACAAATTTTTATCAATGGCTTTTGCAATGAAATGCTATGTGAATTTCACACAAACAAAATTAATGACTGGCTCTGAAGGAGGCTTGAGAACATCATATAGCATTTTTACTGGTATAGCGATGACCGGTAAACCACACACTACTGAGGTATAGATCATATCACCTGCTAAATAAGCTGCAACGGAAAATGTTTTGAAGAAAGATTGCGAAAATGTTTAAAATCGGTAACGTTGAGCGCACATTTTTGCAGCGACGCTTATAGCAAAAGGCATTTGATGTTGAACAAAAAATTTAAACTGTAACATTATTAATTTGCTAGAAAACGTCAATATTCAACATTTGAACAGACATTATTTTAATGGCTTACGTGAGGTTTTATAGTCAGACTTATACCGTTGACGCATTCCTTTTAGTTGATTATCTTGAAACTGTTCGAGATAAAAAATTGTTTTTTGATAATAAATGGTTTTAGATAAAAAACGGGTTTTAGATAAAAAACGATTTTTAGATAAAAAACGGTTTCTAGATAAAAAATGGTTTTAGAAAAAATCTTCTTTTTAGATAAAAAACGGGTTTTAAATAAAAACGATTTTTAGATAAAACACGACTTTTAGACAAATAACTAATTATGTCCATGATAAAAAATTTTCTTTGCTCAGAAGAATATTTTCACAAGCACAAGATTACGTTCCGTAATATTACTGTGACTTTAACCGACGGTGCTCCAGTTATGGCAGGTTCTTACATAGGTTTTTCCGCCTTTCTTTAAGGAAAAGATTTAAAATGTGTATACTTTTGAGTGTGTGTTGCACGGCCAACCTCTTGTGGAAGTAAGATTGAGCGGTAAACTGGATGAAGCTTTGAAAATGTGCATTAAACTTAACAATACAATTAAAGCCCGTCTTCTGAATGAATGTGGCAGCAATGACAAAAAAAATATAACTCAGTACTCACTACAGTGAGTGACAAAGAGCGCATTTTCTCGTCGACGAAAACGTGGTCACGGACGGACAGACGGACGGACGGACGGACGGACGAACGGACGGACGGAGTGAGCACAATAGTGCATTTTTTCCATAACTGAGAAAATACGCTAAAAATATGAAACCTTCAACCAATTTCTCCTGCATACCGAAGAGAGGTATTTATCAAAAGTCAACAATTTGTAAAGACACATTGACTTCTATGATCCAACAGAATAACTTTCAAGGAGTATATGTACAGATCCATCGTCATTTCGTGAATTAAAACGTTGTTATAGAGACATTTGTTCTGTTCAGCAGATTTCTATTTAAAATTGAACGAAGTACGCAGTCGTCTTGGAGGCAAAAATGCAACATTTATTTTCGCTCGAACAATTACCAAGAGATTTAAATGAAAAATTGTGCTGTTTAAATGAGCACTTTTACTTCAAGATTCCAAATATTTTGCAACTGGCGGATGCTGAAGGAGTTCAAAAGCCTTTCACACAGCGACTTGAGCATGTTGAATAAATTTAGAGAATACTTCAAAATGCGCTTCCAAGAATAAAGAACATTCCAGAATCTCTTGTCATTCCATTTGATTTGAAACAGACAATGAAAGTAATGAATCTGATTTGATGAGTAACTTGCCAAAATGAGCCTAGCCCGCGTAACTAAAGTGCTGTTTAAACGTAATATGCAATATTGGCCTTATGTCAGTCCTGCCGTTAAATATCCCAAGCTTAAAGCGACGAAATATTGGCCTCATGTCAGTCCTACTGTTAAATATCCCAAGCTTACAGCAATGAAATATTGGCCTCGTCTGTCCTGCCGTTAAATATCCCAAGCTTAAAGCGACGAAATATTGGCCTCATGTCAGTCCTACTGATAAATATCCCAAGCTTACAGCGAGAGCAAAAGCCCTTTTGCTAGCTTTCAAAATTTCAGAAATGGTTGATGCTCTGAAGGCAAATGCATAAATGGTTGAGGCAGATGCAATTCCAACAATGCAGAGGAATAGACTAAACTTTGGACAGATGGACAGTCTATTGCAGTATGGACAGATTTTTATAGTTGCGTCTTTGTATGATTTCTGCCTCTTTTTTCAGGAAAAAAATCTTATCTGTAACAATATTCAAATTCAGTTCCGAAAAATCCGCGAATCTCTCGACTTTCTGTTCACTTTTCTTAAATATTGTCTTAAGATTCTCGGAGACGCCATGCGATACCGATATCTTCTTTGAGCTGCTCAAGGTTCTTGAATTTCTGAGATCTTGTCAGCCGCCAAAAATTTGGAGACTTGCCTTTAAACATTGTCACTGAGGCGAGAGTTCGCTCCGACAAGCGTGATTAGAACCTTTCTTTTCCTTGTGGGCCGTTCATTATTAACGATCTTTCAGGCAGATAACTAGTTTCAAGAAGAGAACAAAGGATTTTCGTCGCTGTATTTGCAACTTGTAAGCGGCAACGATAAAAATTAAATTACTAGATACTTGTGCTTCATCTTTTCAGATGAAACACAGAATGAATGAATTTTACACATGAATTTTACAGAAGGACAATTTTGGGTATAGAACGACTAAAACATTCAAGCCTTTTAGATCGAGACACATATGATTCCGATTGCAGTCAATGGCATAAGATATGCACCATCTCGCGTGACACGGCTGAGTTGGCGACATCCAACTAATCAGTTGACACATTCTAGTAGAACTTCCAACCGCACGTTCTACGTCTCTCGGCTGCAGAAAAAGTCGCTTGATTTTCCGCAAGCTGCAAAAAAATGTACTTTGTTCCTATCATCTAATACATTTTAGTGGCTTGAGAACTGGAATTTTTGGTTCAGAGAGTAAATCTGTATGATAATTCAAGTATTTAATAAAATGCGTTGCATTGCCTGACATGGCATCCCAGTTGGTGGAACGGCCGCTATATTCTGCCAGCAATGTTCACTGCTACGGGCTGCATTAAACTGCGCATCGTAAGGGCTGTCTGCTGCTGCCCCAATTTCTTTCAAATTAGAAACCATTGCTTTTGTGCACTTTTTATGGAAACTTCTTCCATAGCCAGTTAAGTAAGTTTCACTTCACTCCTCATTCAGAACAATTTAATGAAATTTAAGTAAATATCACATGTTATGAAAAAATTGCATTACAACTTTCCAAACCAACGATCAATCATATAGCAATTACCTGCTGAAGTTCACAAGGAATTTAAAAGCAAAGAAAACGCCAAGCAAATTCACGATAGCTCTTGCCGCGGTGTTGATTAAGAAACTCGGATGTAAAAGTTTCGCGACGTCATTCAAACGTACGCTGATGCGCAGCGTGCACAATTATACTCATAGACCAGTTCGATTGCGTCAGGAAAGGAATAACGTCCTTATACTTGAGGAATGAACCAATTTTGAAATTATTTACTAGCAAAACATGCAAATTAATATTCGGGAAATATTTCATTAACGAAATCTTAAGTTCTTTGGACATAGCTTCAGACGCACCAAAAAAGGGCAATGTGCAATAAATAGTTTGTTTTGCAATCGCAGTTTCAAAAAATTTGTTATATAAAAAAATATATTTTTTATTGTTTTATATGTACATATATTGTAGTTTGATTCTACTAAACACAATGCACGATGGAAAACCATTCAGCTGAAATATATTACGAATGAATTCGAATTTCAAATGCATATCATGGAAGGTAGAACAAACCCTATAGCCGCGGTATATCGAAGCTTGAAGACTATTCAATTTGAAACGAAACGAGCAGAAGCCAACGAAACTCATACCCAAGCCGGTAAATGTCGGCTTGCGATAAACGGAAGTCGGAAAACGACCGCCAAATTTAATTACTATACTATCGAGAAACGACAAGCTATTGTTGGTTTCTAATTCCATAGTGAATTTTATTGAATAATTTTTGAGGTTTAGATAATCAAAGAAAATGCCCGCATGAGAGGGATGCTTGACGATCAGAAACATATCATCAATATACCTATTGTAAAAAATTAGCTTAAAATCAATGGGACAATCAACCAACCACAAAACCTCATGAAAACACATGAAAATATTAGCAAGTGTGGGACCAAAAGGGAGGCCCATTCCTAAACCGCCAAATTTAATTACTATACTATCGAGAAACGACAAGCTATTGTTGGTTTCTAATTCCATAGTGAATTTTATTGAATAAGTTTTGAGGTTTAGATAATCAAAGAAAAAACCCGCATGAGAGGGATGCTTGACGATCAGAAACATATCATCAATATACCTATTGTAAAAAATTAGCTTAAAATCAATGGGACAATCAGCCAACCACAAAACCTCATGAAAACTCATGAAAATATTAGCAAGTGTGGGACCAAGGGGGAGGCCCATTCCTAAACCATAAATTTGCTTATAAAAGTTACCAGCAAAAATGAAAAAAGAGTTCATGACAGATAATTTCAGAATCTTTTTGAAAAGATTCTGGCCAATCTTTCTGGCCAATGGCCAGATCATTTGTATCTTCAAACGAAGATTTGAGGCAGATTTTAATTATTTCAGTGAGTGGAATATTAGTAAATAAATTTTCCAAATCAAACGAAGCCATAGTCAGATGCTGAACATCAATAAATCTTTCAAACGGTCGAAAAATTTGTACGTATTATCAACAGTAAACTGGCTAGTAGTTAGACAATTGGACTCCAAAACGTTTTCAATATCGATATGGTGAATTTGCTTTGCGCTTTCTTTGCTTTTAGATTCCTTGTGAACTTGCGATTTAACCAGACTGATAATATAAGTACTTGTATACGATCTGATGAAGATGCGTTATTCTCACTCATTCGTGAGGTTACGAATTATACTACCATTTATAGATTTATCAGTCCTGTATTAAGAACAAATTCTAAGTATTTTATTTGTTTGTATAATTAGCTCCGAGGTTGCCGCATGAGTCACAGTAAAAAACGACGACGGGTTCTAAGTTAACTTGTCATGACAAATGAAAATAAAGAAAAGCTAAATTATGTCGTTCCGTCTCAAAACAAGAAATATAAATCTTCACTGAATGAACATAAAACTCAGAAGCTAAAACACTCTCGTAAGATAAAGTATTGACATTTTTTCTGACCTTCCTGACGGTGTTGATGATGCCCCTGAAGGAGGCGGCCATGACGGCGACGGGCACGACGAGCCCCAGCAGGAGGAGGTACGTCACGAACGTCAGGTTGTTTACCGTCCGGCGCTCCCACGCCACAGAGCAGCTGTGGGCACCAACGTTATGCAAGAGGTGGCCTTATTGCATCGTCGTTCACAGTTATTAGCGTCGTCAAATGTGATATAATATTATATGAAACAGTTATAATTTAAACAAACAGCTTAAAATTTGAAATAACAGCTGTTAAAAACAGTTACTGATTAACCTTCAATATCATTATCCAAAAATTGGACACAACACAAGAAAGATTTGTAACGACCTATACGACCGAAGCAATGATTTTTTGCCCAGCTGAGTCCTTGTTCCGTCAATCAGAAAAATCCGCTTATCCTAACTGATTTTTGCCTAATTATCCATAGATTTCTGCATGAAACCTTACCTTACACCCCCACCTTCGATGCCGAAAACCCCCCACCCCCAGAGCGGCGGGGAGACCGTAACGAAGGAGTAGACCCAGACCCCCACGACCACCACCCGCGCCCTCAGGGGGGTCAGGTCACACGCATGCCAGGGCCTGGCTATCATCAGGTAGCGCTCTACTGACAACACCGTCAGCGAGCTGATGCTAGCGATGCCTGTTACAGTTAGGGAGGACAAATTAATATACTCAACATAATTATATATATTTTTTAGTGAATTTATACGATAGAAAGATACTAGATTAATTTTAAATAAGTGAAGAGACTGAACACCACCAAGGGCTGATGCTAGCGATGCCTGTCATAGTTAGGTAGCAAGAATCAATATACTCTACATAATTATAGATATTTTTAGTGAATTTATGCGATAGAAAGATACAAGACTATTTTTAAATAAGTGAAGAGACTGAACACCACCAAGGGCTGATGCTAGCGATGCCTGTCATAGTTAGGTAGCAAGAATTAATATATTCGACACAATTATAGATGTTTTTTAGTGAATTTATACGATAGAAAGATACTAGATTAGTTTTAAATAAGTGAAGAGACAACACCACCAAGGGCTGATGCTAGCGATGCCTGTCATAGTTAGGTAGCAAGAATTAATATACTCGACACAATTATAGTTATTTTTTAGAGAATTTATACCATTGAAAAATACTAGATTAGTTTTAAATAAGTGAAGAGACAACACCACCAAGGGCTGATGCTAGCGATGCTTATCATAGTTAGGGAGGAAAAATTAATATACTCAACATAATTATATATATTTTTTAGTGAATTTATACGATAGAAAGATACTAGATTATGTTTAAATAAGTGAAGAGACTGAGCACCGCCAGGGGCTGATGCTCGCTACGCCTGTAATACTTAGGGAGGAAGAATCAATATACTCAAAACATTCATAGATATTTTTAGTGAATTTATGCGATAGAAAGATACTAGATTAGTTTTAAATAAGTGAAAAGACAACACCACCAAGGGCTGATGCTAGCGATGCCTGTCACAGTTAGGGAGGAAGAATCAATATACTCAACATAATTATGGATATTTTTAGTGGATTACTACCATTGAAAAATACTAGATTAAATTTATATAAGTCAAGAGACTGAGCACGGCCAGCGGCTGATGCTCGCTATGCCTGCCGTAGATAAGCAAAAAGAATTAATTTATTCAAATCAAAGATAAATATATTTTGTAAAATTTTATATCAAAAAATACAAGATGAAGGTTACCTAAGTGAAGAAACCGCGCACTGGCGCCAGTTTTTCGCTCGCGATGTCTGGGAGAGTTAATCACAAAACAATATGTTGCTTCGGAAAGATATCTGGATAGATCACAAGACTCAATATAACAGCAAATGACATCCACGTTTACACGAAGTAAAAGTCAAATAAACTTGTATAAAAAAAGAGGCGCAAATCACATTGTTTATAAATTTATATGCTACCACCGTAAAATAGGTGATGCTTGCGATGCCTGCGTGAGTCGTGTATCAACAATAAAGGTATCACTTCAAAAGCATATGCAATTTCCACGTTATTTTTTGGGATGAATTCTACAACCTCGGTTATCCCAGTCTTATGCTTAACAATATTTCTTCATTAGTCCATTTTTTAAATTAATCTTCAAAAATTTTTGTTGCAATGTTTTGAACGCTTTTAATCAGCTAGAAAACTTTTCTATTGAGTAATCTTTTATATATTTTTAATTTTTCCAATATAATTACACAAGATTTGTATGGAGACTCTGCAAATGATGCCTAAGCCAACCTTGTTTAATAACCACTGATCAACTGGCAGTTATTTGTTGCATATATGACTTGTAGTTTAATATTTATTTAATTTTGATTGTATGGGCACCATCAATGACCACTCGTTGTAGCATACGCGAACCAATCATGATAAGTGCACCAAAAAGCTACGTATATATACGAGGATATGGTGTATATGTGATACCTGCACGCTCACCTATAGCTAGCGATGCGTTCACCGTTCAATACTCATTTCTTATTCATCATCTCAGTAAATTTTGATGTTTCAGCCGAATCTCAATTGCAGACTAAGAAGTCTATTTTGAACGGAGGAATCTTCACTTTTGGATGACAGATATTTTGAATTGAACTCCTAGCGGGACTAACATTCGGCAACGTTGATTATTTTATGGAACAAATTTTTATTCATGGAATTATTTTATGGTGCTTCGGTTTCAGCTAAAGATTATGCTTACCCTCAGTTTTGTTATCTTATTGACTCATCTCTTGTAAGCGGCTCTTTTCATGGGCACATAAAATGTAGAATTTTTCATGGACACATAGGATGTTGAAATGGTTTTGTGAATGAATGGATACAATGCAGAATTATCACGTGATAGCACTGCAAGTTATCAATGTAAAAATACACTAGCAAAAGTAAAATGTAGAGAGGTGTATATGTGATACCTGCGCGCTCACCTATAGCTAGCAATGCGTTCACCATTCAGTACTCATTTCTTATTCATCATCTGAGTAAATTTTAATGTTTCAGCCGAATCTCAATTGCAGACTAAGAAGTCTATTTTGAATGGAAGAATCTTCCCTTTTGGAAGACAGATATTTTGAATTGAACTCCAACCGATACTAACATTCGGCAACGTTGATTATTTTATGGAACAAATTTTTATTCATGGAATTATTTTGTGGTGCTTCGGTTTCAGCTAAAGATTATGTTTACACTGAGTTTTGCTATCTTATTGACTCATCTTTCGTCACTAAGCGGCTCTTGGACACATAAAGTGCAGACTTATCACATGATAGCACTGCAAGTTAGTAATGTAAAAATACACTAGCAAAAAGGAAAAGGCAGAGCTTAATTGTCCGTTCAGTGCACTGTTAAGCAGAAAATGGAGTCCAAACTAATTCTTGTTTCAAGCTGGGCTGAAAATGGCGCAAAATAATTATATCAGCTGCGCTAACAAGTCGCAATCAATTTTGTTAATTTTATTAAAAGATAAATACCCATAATAAACGATTTCTCATAAAGAATTGGATATATATGTACTATTTGAAGAATTCACATTGCATTCATGCATGTGTTTTCTGTAGTTAATTCAAAACGGTTAAAGGGGAGACGAGGGCAAAGGTATACGCCAATGCCTACGGGGTATTATAAAGGTTTAATCTCATATCTATTGAAGAAGAGCAAACATTTCAGAAATCTTTCTACCTTTAGTAAACATTTTTGAAATTAATTAATCAAATAAAAAACAAATAAATGGTTGCAACAATAAATTCAATTGTCCCTTAGGTTAAAAATTTGAGAACAGCTTTCATATTTTTATTTAAACGCAACATATGTGATGTATTCAATAGATGTTGTAGACTCTATGGCCTGTATTATAGCCGGCATAAGCTCTTTATGAGTACCAAAGATTCCCGCTTTCCTTCTGCAAGTATGAAGATCTCGAGAGGGACATTGATCCCTTGAGAGCAGATGCTGAGACTCACATCGATTCGTCAAGCCTCCTATACATACAGAGGGTCGCAGTCAAACCTCAATATTGACTGACTGTGAGAACAATGCCTGGACTTTAGGTGACGCGATCGCCTTTTCTTGGCCGAAAGTACCGTCTTATCAGACCTAAGCCTCTGAAAATAGGGCGAAAATGAGGCAATGGAGCCTGACGATTTCGTATTGAACTTTCGGCTGAAATATCTCTACATCCCAGGTCCTGAACGCCAAGGTAAGATTAAAGGGATTTAAAGAGTTGTTGCGGGACGACTGAAACACTGCTAATGTCTAAGATTGACAAATAGAGCTCATATCCTACCAGGTCTTACGATGTAGCTGCCAGCCATAGAATTTTGGGAAGTCTAAGGTTAATTGATTGATGGCAGAGCAAATCGTAGATCATTCATTAGAGATCCTCATCCCACCTGTAAGGTACACCTGAATATAAATTCTTACGTATTTGAAGACGGGTTTTTGAGCGCAACAGAAGTACAATTGATACGCAACAGAAAACTACGTTAATTATTATCCTTCTTGTTTCAATATACATTGCACCATTAAGACAAATATTAGGGGTTACTATAAAAAAGCAATCAAACAATATACCTTCTTAGATGAAGGTTTATGTCATACGAAAACTCGAGTTTTAAAACAATTAAATAATAAAAGTAAACAACAACAGTCACACATAGCACATAACTGCGAAATTGCAGTTTCTTGGTCGGAAGGAAACGAGAGCCTTGTGAGGTGAAATACGAGTTCCCATACTGAGTGATGCCTTTTAACTTGAAAGTGCTTCTTCTCTACTGACAAAGATAATGATAAAATTGTTCACTTATCCAGAAAATATCAGTTCATCATAAATTGTTACGATTTTGTTGAGACTAAAATAATAGATTTTTTTAGTGGTGAGTAACCATGTCTTGACGGAATTAAAAAAGATCATTCGCTAGATTACATCGGCGCAGGGAAATATTTATGTGAAGTTCGTTTGAGCAATGAGTTCAAACCATTTCCAAACTTTCGCCATATATATTCGATAAAGAAGCCGATTTACATCAAATTCATTTATACAATTTGACGCTTGCATCACTCACCAAATAACGTCATGATGAAGGCGTAGATGACGTACGCATCACTCACCAAATAAGGCAGGGTCAGGGGAGTTAGCAGCTGGAGTATCGGCAGCATTGTGCTCTTCTATTTCTATTCTACGAATTTCTTAGAATTCCCAAGTATCTTGAGCATGAAACTTTAGTTCTCGCGATGTTTACCAAAGCGCTTCTGGATGAACACATCTATTATACAGTAAAATAACACAACTGAAAAATTAAAAGCGACTCTTCAAATTTTAACAATGCTGTGAATATTTTGCGAGGCATGAAGGTTCATATTGACTATAAGTATTAAAAAATAAACATAAAACTCCTGTTAAAAATACGCGCTCCTGTAGTTGTGTTAAAAATTAAATTCTCTAATTGACAAACGTCGTATCAACAAAATGGCAAAACATTTTATCGTTAAAATTTTTTTCATTCGTTCGTCATTGTAGCTGTTTGAGCTTCTGACAACTATTTTACTTAAATTTGAAATAGAAACGAATTCTTCAATTTTTATTCTTAATTATTTTGTATCAGATTTTAGAATCTCTTAATAAGTTTGTGATAGCGACCGTGAACTCAAGAGTATTGGAATCTGAGAATAAATTCCGATGCGGCAGTTGTTGTCACTTCCCTCGTAAGAAGTCATTCAAACTGTGAGATGCCCCGAAGCTCGATCTCTCTTGTCATTTCATTTGATTCAGTGAGAATGACTTATTTCCATGGCAGGAAGGCTGGCTTCGCGAGAACTAATATTTCTATAACACTTTCTAGTCTTCATAAGGACTATTGACTATTACAAGAAAATTTTGAGAATAAAGGATTATTTCAATACATTGAGAGGCTTAGGTTGATGCTTAGGTTGATAATGGTTACCGGGGACCGTTTCATGAAACACTTGAGGTCAATTACAAATTTATTAGTCATAATATGTGGTTGAAACCTCACGGCTATCTCTTACAATGCTCTCCACGGAGAATTATTTATTACAATTATCTCCACGGAGAATTATTTATTACAATTATCTCCACGGAGAAGCCATGATGCGCTTAAGTTTAGGTAGAAAAGTAAGCTCGATTTTTGTTCATCGCATGGATAACTTATAACTTAATAATAACACAACTCTATCGGCTGACTTGTGTCGGAGGATCCTGACTCTCTGCCAGTCAAATAATGCACCAATTATTTACAGTGTGACAATTCTCAACATCTAGCGATTTGATTCTTTTTAAGTGAGTTTCATTTCAAATATTTCATAGTTTCTGCCAATTTATGCAACTTTCAGTTGTTGTTTATTTGAAAATAATGTCAGTGTGCATATTTTAGTCTATTTCAAATGCGCTCAATAATCATGAATAAACTACACCAACGCTCCGTTTAACTTGAATAAGAAAAATTCCGCCATATGTCATGAACCACTTGCCAGTTGGTGGCAGCGTGATCCATACCACCACACAGCACGAGCGTCACACAACATGAGCGTCACACAACATGAGCGTGTTACAGCACGGCTCTTCATGCTTGAAGCTCATCATGCTTGATAACACAACAGTGCTGGAGGCGAAGACAGCGATAGGAATTGAAGGTAAACATCGAAATAAACAATGATTGCATTTAGATGAAATTTTGGGAGCGTAAGACTTTACCAACGGATACAAAAATATTTTGAAAATCGGATACTTATTGAATTCTAATGGAATTTAGTACGACGAAACAAGAGTTTTATTTGAGTTGAAACAGAAGAATTATTCGTAGTTTGATATCTGCTTTACTGGAATCGAACTGACAATGTTGTCCATTTACATTTGCGGCCTGCTCAAAGGAATCAAGAATGAGTATTAAACATTAATGTTGCAATCTGTCACTGTTGTCCAACTAACGTTCGTGGCTAACTTCAAGATGTCTTTGATGTTGACTCGTTTGATGGAAAGTCTCGCGACGTCGGGTTTTTATCGTGATGATCACAAAGCAAAGTCTTCTCCATCAACCACCAAAACGAACATGGAACTTATGTATAGTATTATAGTACTATGGACTTCAGTATTATAGTAGTATGGACTATAGTATTATAGTGCTTAGAGCTTTTCTCTACGTTTCTGACGAAAGTGATACTGTGGTAAAGCTCCAAAAGAAAGTTTGAATGAGAAGTTTCCGAATCTAAAGCTGTCTTGTGCTGATGTGCAAATTTTTTCTTTCAAATTTGAACAATAAAGCCAACTCGATCATGTCGAATTCAGAAAAACCTAGTGTTGCCATATCGACAAAAAACTGAAATTTATTTGCTAAGGGACTACAACATGGTTTTGCGGAAATTTCTGAACAAATAAATTGCTACAAAGTTCGAAACAATTATTCGCTTTGAAACAAGTGCGTCGTGACGAACTCTCCGTCAAAAATGAGCTATATAGTTCTGCTAGCAACGGTAAGCGTGCAAAATTGTCGACGATGCGGAAAAGTTAAACTCTACGCGAGACGAGCACAGTTAGTCTTAGTTAGATGACGAATTTATTCTTATTTTTCAGAGAGGATGTCATTCGTTGCCATAATTTTACCGGTTCCAGCGGCGTAAAATTTGCATATCAATTACACGTGTCAAGAATTCAAAAGCAAAGAAAACGGCCAGATCAGCGAAACTAACTATTTCTTAAGCGAGAAAACGTTTCAGAGTCCAGTTCCATCGTCAGTTCAAAAAACCAAAACACAGGTACAAACATTTAGCAAACTAAAATTCACATTGAAGACAAGATGACTCTCTCACCACCAATCAGTATACGGTAGACAATACTTCATGTTCATGGATCGCTTAAAGTATTTTAATAATGTTCAGGAATTGACTATGGCTTCATTTGATATAGAAAATTTGTTTACCTTCATGAAACTATTGATATCTGCCTCAATTCCTTGTTTGTATCTGCCTCAATTCCTCTTGGCCCCACTTTTGATAACATTTCTATGTGTTTTCACGAGGCCACATGGCTGGCCAATTGTCCTCCAGATTTTAAGCCACTATTCTATAACCGATATGTCTGCAGCCGCCGAGTCTGACATTTCATCTTCAGAACTAGTTACTGAAAATTGCCCTACGTAGAAGTAGGCAAGTTCTAGTTGGATAGAGCACTGTTTTGGTAAGGATCTATATATTTATCCTTGGATATTTATTACTATTTTCATCATAGAATACTTCTGTTGAAACATTGATGAGTTATTCACGATTATATCACAATTCTATTACGTATCGTTTACGTTGGTTCATTTGGTCGTTAATTTGCTTACAGAAACAGTTTGCGGTATGTTCAATAAATGACAAAATTCGAGAAGTATTTTACGTCCTGCGACGAGTTATTTCATCAGTGACGGATTGAATATGAAAGGCGGCGAATAAAAAACTGCTATTGTAGAGGTCGTTTTTAATGTTTATATGAGACTTTTTTAATTTTCAGGCATCCCTCTCATGTAGACCTTTTCTTTGATTATCTTAAGCTCCAACATTAGTCCATCAAATTTACCATGGAGATTGAATCCGACAATAGTTTATCTTTTCTTGATTGCAATGTCACAAAATCAAATGGTAGTTTTCAGACATCTGTTTACCGAAAATCAACGTTTACCGGCTAAAACACCATATTTTTTAGCTTTTGTTCATTTCGCTTCAAATTAATGGGATTTAAACGTTAACAAATCGCGGTTTCGTTTATGCTCCACTTTCCATGTTATGCACTCAGAACTTGAATTTTTACGCAGCACCTTTTCACTTAAATGGTTTCCGACCGTCGCAATTGGTATATACTCAAATCTAAAGAAATATAAATAATATTCTGAGGTTGATCACGACCATGACAATAGGAATGCTGTTTATTGTTCGTTTCCTCACTTTGGCCCCGCTTCGGAGACTATGGCTAAGGAGTTTGAACTTTTATTTTCTAAATACCTCCCAAATGTAAATCTTCATATATTACTGGTGAATGATTTTAAAATAAGTTATTTTTTCATGTATAAAGATGCACTCCCTCTTCTTATGCGATCGTCCCTAGTTTTTCTATATAGTTGTGCGCAGTGTGCATCTGCGTATATGTCGGTATTACATCACGTAATTTTGATATATACTAGGCTGATAAAGCATAACGGAAGTAGTTTTAGAACAGGAAACCTGCTCGAGCATCCCCCTCATTCAGGAGTTAGCGTTCATGCCGAGCAGTGCAACGTCCCGGTGTCCGATATCAATTTTAAAATTTTAGCCTCCACAACCGATTTTTCGGACCTGCGAATTTAAGATTCCCTGCATATTTTTAAACAAAAGCCTAGTTTAAATGCCCCCTACAGTTTATATCCCCTTGAATTGCAAATAAGTAGGTTTGTCTGCTCATGTTTTACATCATTCTTATTTTGTTTTCGTGTGACAATTTATATTTTAATATCTTCAATGTGAATTTTGGTTTGCTAATTGTTTGTACTTGCGTTTTAGGTTTTTGAACTGATGATGGACCTCCGAAACGTTTTCTCCCATAAGAAATGGTGAATTTTCTGGCTGTTTTCTTTGCTTTTGAATTCTTGATAAACTTGCGATTTTAGCAACCAAGTGATCTTAATTATTATATCAGATTAATTACACGTAATATGTTTTGATGGGAGTGTTCTTGTGTTTGTGTTTGATGTCAGGTATCACGCATAGTTGAGGCGCATCTTATCATGTACAAGTTCCGCATCGTACTTACCCAGTATACTGTAATCGGTGCACGAGGATTTATAAAAAAAAACAATAATAACTCAAAGTTAAGCACGAGGATTCATTAACAATAATAACTCAAAGTAAACTTGCCAATCAGTTTGCCCAAGTTTCCACTCCAATAATCAAGCTGATTTTACACGAGTATAAACTGCCTGACAAAAAAGCGATTTGAAATAATTGATGGAATCAATTCACTAGCTGTGATATACATCAAAGAAATTCGTTGTTAATGTTATTACAGAAGTGAAGGAATTTGCTTCTCGTCTAGTGTTCAGTTAGAAATGAATTATTGATGTATGCTCGAGGAACCTATCCATGTTTGCACTGAGAATAATCAAAAATATTCTTGCAGGGTTTCTGACGAAAAGCTGTAATCAAGAGCTTCATTAAGGCTTTGCGAGCGCAGCGACAACACGTATTCAAAGCGAAAATTTTGAAGTGTAAACTGAAGCAGAATTTAATTTAATGCGAAACTCTGAAACATTTCCAAGAATTAATTTTCTTCATGGTCAGCACAATGATGGGTTCAGACTATTATTAACGCACTTGTACCCTGGCAACATGCATGGTTCACTTCACCCTAGTGTCAATAATTTTGTAAATCCCGGAATATTTTTAATGATGCATATATTTTTCGTGCGTGAACACTAATATCCTCGTTAAAATGTTCGCAATTATTTTCCGCCCATAGAACATTTTAATTTCAAGCGTTGCTTTGTCCGACAGTTTATGCCACATGCCATTGATTGGCTGGATTACTCGTTGGTATTTATTGTGTTCCTGTAATGACAATTCGTCGCAAACTGCATCGAAGCCGCAGCTATAATGAACGCTCCTAATTTTGGACCGATCAACTACTATTATGCGAAATGGCAAGATATATGCGCAAACTTATCCGCGATGCAGACCATTTTTCGGTTTTCTGGAGGTGCTCATTTTCATAGAGCACCGATTGTGAGCGATGGGGCCGTCTCATCGTAGATTTTACTCCTAGTTCATCAATGCAGGAGATTTCGAGCGAGACACTCAACAGCATTGTTTGTCTCCAGTTATTGCTGTGCCACTGCCTAAATATTCCTCTTTACTGTCACTATTTTGTTCTAGTGTATTTAGTCTTAGATACTTTTGGCACTGTAGCCTAAATATTCTCCTTTACTGTCCCTATTTTGCTTCTAGTGCATTTAGTCTTTGACACTTTCGGCACTGCTTTCGAAGCAGTCTCATATTGTTGTTCCGATGTAATTAACGTAATGAACGCCCAGCTATTTATCAAAGCTGGATGTGGTTAATTGAAGGATGGCCGAGCTTCCATTGAAGGTGCGGCACCTGATGGTTTTATGTTACGCGGTTCGCTTACATAACTCGCCTACGTAATAGCTCATCATGTTTACTATCGAGCATATATTAGTTGCATTGTAGCTTATATTGGTTGCATGGGAGCTTATATTGGTTGTATGGGAGCTTATATTAGATGTGTATAAGAGACAGCGCTACGCCTGTAATACTTAGGGAGNGTTATGCTGCCATTAACTCGTAACGATAAAAGTTCCATGATCGTCAAATTTAATTTGTCACTACGGACAGAACACACACGCTCCTTAGCTGCATACATATACAGAAGCTAAACTTTCCCTCACTATTCTTCGTATCAATAATGAACAAGGACCTCGCTCAATTTTCTGCTTTCGATAAGGATGGGGATTACGATAACGGCAAACCTTGTTTCTTAATTCCTGCTAAAAGTTACGCCTGGTTGTGTTGCTAGCAATGTATTGAATATTGAACAAATCCACGTTCAATACTTCTAATTAAGCACTCTTTGTGTTAAATAAACTTGCGCTCGAAGTAGAGCTCAACGTTCTGCGTTATATATACTGTCGACGAACTCTAATTTTTGTACAATTGTACCATCAATTATTTGTAATTGTACCATCGTTTGTAACCAATCTTCAAGGCGAGCAATTTACATCAGAGAACACAATGTATTAATACCTTCAGAACAAGCAGACATTGCGGAAAACATTGCGCATCGTCAGAACATTCGAGGTTTAGAGCAGACGGCGAGCCGCGGTTTTGAACGCCGAGTGATGGAGGCTCAATGTTTGTGTTGCGTTCCAGGAGACGTGCAGGGTTGCGAGGCGTGAGAGACAAAGGCTTTGAGCTTGAGACGGATCCTAGATAGGAGTATAGGAATGAAAGCTTGCGATGCAGTTGCTATATAGTCATTTAGGATACTAGATTCAGAAAAACCTAGAGAAGTTACAAATGAAACGGTTTGTCCCTGCCTATATTTTTTGATGACGTACCCAGCGTTTTCAATCAATGAAATGACTACGATGTAAAACACTAATATCTTGTTGCTCCGTTTTGAAAAAGATTTTCTATTAGAATTCTCAGTCATATCGTATGATTGAAACGTTACCTTTGCTCCCACCAACTTGTCATCACTTTTATATACATTTTAATTTAAAATATAAGTTTATAAATATAAAAACTTTTTTCGCCGCGATCATTGGAGTTATTGTCAAGAACAGTTTATTTATGTCGCTTGTTCAAATTTCCCCTGTGTAACAAAGTTTAATTTGTGTTTTATCTCGGGTTGCAGCTCTAATTTATTAGCTATTTCGTGACTAAATAACATTAAAGTAATGTCCTGCGACTTTGCGCTAACGTCTGATTGTTGAGTTTAACAATCTTTTATAGTAAAATATAAGTTATTAATGGAATACGATGGTTCTTAGCAAATTATTCAAGATTTCAGTTGTAAGATCTTTAATGTTGTAAATTATCGGAAAATATTAGTTGAGAATATCATTAAAACGTAATAGCAATACAATGTAACAAAAGCTATAAAGAGAAGAAAAAAATAATTTAATAGCCAGAATATTGCGCAAATCTTTTTTTTTGTTCTTTGCAATTTATTGTCACATTGCATTATAATGCAAAACTCGGAGGAGCGCTCGTCGTTCCTGTCAGAAGATGCAAGGCCAAAACAATTTTTTTTCTCTAAAAAAGGGTCATATGAACAACAAACTTATTTTATGCAACTGTTCATGTAAGTGGATACGTGATTTTTTTTTAATATTACGCCAATGAACTTTTCTCATTTGTTCACAAGATTTGTTTATTTTTATATTTATAATTATATAGTTATATTATATTTTCACGTTCCTTCACCTTGAAATCTATATTTTGGTCACGAAGCCCTCGCTGCGAGTTATAGCTTGTGTTAAATCTAAAGTCAATTTTGGATTATTATTATTTTGCATTGTATTACAAATGTTAAAATTCGTTATTCTTTACAGGAAATAAATGAATCAGCACCAGAATTATTCGTAACCCTGCAATTTAATCGCAAGTAAACACCTGAGGAATTAGAGTTTCAGAACCGGAAAATAATAAAGTACACTAAGTGTTGCATTGTGTCTTTACTACGTATTACTTTTAAGATTCTTCTAAAGAACCAGCAACAGGGATTGGCCCAGCCTAACCTCGAGCTGGAGTGCACCAGTAAATATTGCAGAGCGTCTTATTATAGTCGTCAAAAAAATGCCAGCAAATTAAACGCGTTACTTTGATGCTCTGCGACTCAAGCAATGCAAGAGAGTGGACGGAAGGAAGCAATGGAAGAGAGAGAGGAAGTAGTCACTGCTTCATATTGTCACTGCTTCATATTGTCACTGCTTAATATTGTCATTGCTTAATATTGTCATTGCTTAATATTGTCACTGCTTCATATTGTCACTGCTTAATATTGTCACTGCTTCATATTGTCACTGCTTAATATTGTCACTGCTTCATATCGTCACTGCTTCATATCGTCATTGCTTAATATTGTCACTGCTTCATATCGTCACTGCTTCATATCGTCAAAGGAAGAGCAGAAGGAAAGGTGAAGGAGAGCAGAAGGAGAGGTGAGAGAAAGGTGAATGGAAGGTGGGGGAAAGAAGAAGGAGAGGCGAAGAAGATGCAGGAAAAATGCGTACCCCATTCAGCTCAACCTCGAAATGCAGAGCACAACATGAATAAATTCCTGCCACGCAACGCAAGCGGGCATTGTAATTCTAATGACCAATGCTGTCGCATGATCAAGTTTTATTTGATCAGGACGGATGAAAAACGTTAGTATTTGTCTATATTTTGCACGTCATAATTGAGCGAGAGTCGCATTCTGGCCTCATCATTGTAAAGTATTTAGAATTATTATATCATTCAACACATGTTTCCATCATTAAATTCAAGTGTTTGTAATGGTTTCATTATTTATCACATGTTTGCATCGTTAGTCAGTGTTTTGAATAGTGATGTTGTTTTTCGCGCGTGCTTGTATTGGTTAGATCACTTTGCACATGTCCGCAATTGTCGAATCATATCTCAGTTATTCGCAACAGTAACATCAATACTCTCATGTTCAGACCGGCCCAGTGATTACTTGAGATGCCTATATGTAATGTACGGTGAGTAGACCGCTAGTAGTCCTGGCTAGTATTAGCTGCAAATAATGTTATTGCTGCTTGACCTCCGCGTAGAGAGATACTCGCTGATTAAATGGCGAAAAATGTGAAACAGCTTCTAAAAATAAACACGATTGTTTTCAAGCGCTGGTGAGCGGGGAGCAACTGGTCATGTGACCAAACAATGGTCGCCTGGTTGGCTGAGATTGAAGACAGCTAAGGAAAGAACCGTGAAATTTATAGGGCAGGTTTTCGGGAATATAATGTTAGAGACTGATATTGTCCTCAAACTAGTCTTTTAACGGCCTCTGAATACACATTCTGCAGGTTACAAATGAGAAAATACTCACAGCTATTACTTGCCACGTGTATAAGCCTACTAGCCGGTGAAACTTGTAGCCGGCACTCTGCAAGCAACTACAACTTAATGCCAGCGTCCGTGCACATTTACACTCGTTTGTGCTAGTCCCATCATTCAGATTTTCGTAATAGTTATAAATAACAGGATTTGTTGCATCATAATTCTAATCATAGGTGAGGTTTTATCAATAATCATAGATTAAAGATGTTTGAATGACTACTCACATGTTTGTTGGCAGCGATGACGAGCAGCACAGCGGTGTTAGCCAGCACGCCCAGCACGGTGATGGTGAAGAGGGCAACGGTGGCCACGGTGTAGCCGGCCTCCGACATGCGCGAGTGCGCCGCAGCGTCAAAGGCTTCGTTAATAGTGAAAATATTTGAGACGTTTCCTCGAAGCTCGGCTGCCTCCGCCATTGATGTGGAATTTGCATACATTGTAGCCTCAGTAAAGTCAAAATTACTTTCAGAGCGTCGTGAAGACAGCTTTTTTCTGTTCCGAGATTCCAGAACGCGATTCTTCTTAACTTGCAGAGGCAAGTTAACTAAAGAATTGTTGTGTCTCTGGATGAAACTGAACGATCTTTCTTGATCATTTATATACGAATTTATTTCTTTACCTGCGTCGCTCTGACGTATATCCTCAGCTGTAGTGTTTATCAAACCCAGAGTCGCAAAATTTGCGTTTTCAGGGATTTGATGTGTCCAATTTTGGCCATAAGACTTGGGTTTTCGATTAATGTATTTTAATACATTAGTTTCTCCAAATGAAACGGTTATATTATTCCTGGATCCTATTTCTGACATTTTTGTTTTTCGATATTTTTGATGATGTAGTCTTGTATTATCTTTTGTCTCTTTGAAGATGTCTTTGGAAATGACAACTCGATCAACCCCTGCATCCTGCTCAAGTTTTACTCCGTAGAGAAAACCTGTGCTGTTGTCGCTTCTCTTCCTTCTTTGTTTTGCTTTTGAATTATTTGGTAAAAATAACTGAAGCTTCCTTTGTTCCATTTTTCGCACTCTTCCGGTGGAGTGAACTTTCGTAAAATATTTATTGGAGAAAAATGCGGTATTTCGTTGGGGTGAATGCCTCAGTTGACATCGCGGTTTTTCTGTGCAATGCATGCAACATCTTTTGCGCAAATTTTCGAGTTCAAAAATTCTCCACACCGAAAATAAGTCTCGTCTGCACTTGCAACCTCTGGTATGCGAATATAAATTAAGTAAAAACCTCAGCGCTGAAAACTTGGACCTTCTCGTTTCATTGACGGGGTAGGCGACATAATTATTCAAAGATTCGCTTTTCCAATTGCCATTTGAAAAAATAGTTGTTTTTGCTACAGCTTCAAGTTGTATCGTGGAGTGGATGTTTGTCGCTCTGCTGATGCTGATTTCAGCCACATTGATCACCAGCATCGCAACACTCAAACACCAAAACCAAGCCACTGCAACCATGCTACTTCACAGTATGCTTGGTAGAACATTGATTGAACATTCCTGACTTAATCTATGCAAACGACATTCTGGAGCTACAGTGTAAAGAGACGAGCTGAAAGGCATGGATAAGAGACATTTAAATCCATTTGTTATATCACTTACATTATAACCATACGCGGCTATATCCATGCAGGAAACAAATTTATTTCATAATCACAGTGAAAATATATCCAAACAAAACATTTCAGTCCATATTTTATTACTCCTTCAATTTCATAGCATCGTCTCATCCTTTAGGTTTCAAACACACACTGGAACACGGAAATACTTCATTCTTGTTAATCGTTAGATTTCAGCTATTTAAAAATGGCACCCAGGCGCCAGCTTCTGCTCGCCCGTATGTCTAATTCAATTAGATTTAGTCTGAGCCACTATTGTGATCCAAGATAAAGTTCGTTAGAGATGTTCGCTCTGCAGTTCAAATGTGGTCAATAAAATACGTTTCAATTAAAAGGGGCTGTAAGCTAAAAGCTGCTATATCGGAAGAGATTTTCATAAATGAATGAACAATGAACTTGCAAGTAAATACCTGCATTTTTCAACTCAAGAAGTTTAAATTGCAAAAAATATCCAGATGTCTACATATATTTTATTATTGATATTATAATAATTTGAGAGTCACTGTTATAATATTTTATTTATTGTAATATATTATAAAATATTATAATACTCAAATATTTCAGATTCAATAAATTACTTGGTGTTTCAATTAATCAGGTTAAGAACGGTTGACAGCCTAATTATAATGCATTCAATTGAAATTATTATTCCTTTATTTATTTCGATTATTTTATTTCCTTTATTTATTATTCAGCCTGCACAGATTATTCGGGTAATGCTGAATATTACAACAAAATGAAAATACAGAACAAGGTTCAGTTAAGCATCGCCTGGGGCTCAATATGTGAAATTTACATCCACAGAAACATGAAAATTGGCCTGATGTTTAGTGATAAAGCATGTGCGAGATAAGCTATCTTAGCTATGTTACAGTTAATGGTACATTCCTGTAAAAATAATCTCCCAATTGCTCCCATGAAGCTTTTGAGAATCAAATGGAAGGAATCACAATTGTACGGGCGGGACGACATGGAGCTTCTTGTGATGCAATATTCAGCGGCAGCGGTCGAGAAGTTCAGTGAGAATCACAACAAGAACCTTCGCCTGTGCTAACATTTTGCAGTCAGGGTCGCTGCATGCATATTGCTGTGAGATATTGGTATATCTTTTGAAGCGCCGTGACGAACATGAGATCACTGCCTTCCTCACACACCTCACACTCCGATCACTGCCTCCCTACCTCACACACCTCACACTCCCATCACTGCCTCCCTCACACACCTCACACTCCCATCACTGCCTCCCTCACACACCTCACACTCTGATCACTGCCTGCCTCACACACCTCACACTCCGATCACTGCCTCCCTCACACACAATACCTAGACGAGAGTATACAATACCTAGACGGGATACAATACCTAGACGGGATACAATACCTAGACAGGATACAATACCTAGACAGGATACAATACCTAGACAGGATACAATGCCTAGACGGGATACAATACCTAGACGGGGAATAAAAACTAGTCGGGAATAATACCTATACTAATACAATTAGACTAATAATAATACAATACCTAGTCAGGATACAATACCCAGACGGGGAATAATACCTAGATGGGGTATACTGTCATCTGTAAACGGAGTAGATGGTAGGCTGATAGGGTATAATACCTAGGCGAAGTGTAATCTCTAGGCATGGAATAATATCTAGGCGGGGTGTAATATTTAAACGGGCTATAATATCTTGATGTGGTATAACATTTAGGGTTAACAGGGTAAAAATCTGAGAAAATGTCATTCAACTGATGTGCAATCTACACCCTATTAATTTGACCAAACGATCGGGTCTTCCCTCATTTTGTTCCCGTTATGTTTTCGTATGCATCATGCAATTGTTGGTGCAAATATCGTACTGCTGAATTAAAGGAACATTTTCTACATTTGTCACTCTGTGAAGTGAAGAGTGGAAAAATATTTGAGTGTTGATACGCAAGTTAAGTTCCGTGTTGAACCTCAAGTGAAAATGACTTGTTTAGAAACACGACAAAATTACTCAACAAGTGGTCCCAGAATTAATCGTAAAAAGGCTTTCTGATCTAGTAACACCACGAGAAATTTTTGTTTTGTTTACAATGGAATATATGCTGATGGATTGATTATGGAAATTGCTTTTTGTTTGCAGTCCGTAAATCAAATTGCGATACCGTTAAATATAGTCTCAACTGAACTACTGTTAGAACATTTTAACACCCACCTCAGAATACTTAATGGTTTTTATGATTTTAAGATGTCTATGTTAATGCCATTAGTGATGTATAGAGATTTCAAAAAAATTAATTAATTATTTATATGGTAACTGTGCTCAAGCCACGTGACTTGGCGAGAACCGGACACGGTTAGCATACAACCACACACAACGGATGCCGCAGGCACACTGAGCTACACGAGGCTACGAGCCCTCACCTGCCTTGTATAGACACAACACGGGCCTAATGAAACTGTTATGACTCGACCGTTGAACTGCTTAGTCTTGCCTTAATATATTATTTCCCTAACTGTCTTTGAATTGATCGCTGTGAATTGAAAAAATTGTCACAAATCAACATTAACGCAAAAAGCTTTTAGTTTATGCCTGCAATTGTTAGATCAACTTAACTTTTTGGGAACCATGTTGACGTTGTTATAAAATGTTACATTTCTTAAAAAAAATTCGATCATGCCTACTATAAATTTCAAAATGATGATGTTAGCAAATAATTTGTAATGCATATTTTTATCAGACAATTTTGGAAAAATTTATGCAGTAGAAAGTAAACACGCGGAATGATAGTGAGAACATACATGACTTCTACAGCCAAAAAGTGCAGACAAAGCTGCTGCACTGCGTAGGGCGGTCATCTTTCGGTCATCAAATTTATTTAGCAAAAAAGTGAATGTTGTACTGCAAGAAACTTGTTTGTTAAATTTGATGCTTTGGACCCCGAATTTATAATATTATTTCAAATAAATATTTAGTCGGTGCTGTGAGTAGAGCACTTTCAGCGGAAAAAAATTTCCAGATTTTTAAGAATGGAAACTTGCTTATCAAGTCATCAAGATACTCTCAAAAAGACGAAAAATTCTCCCTATTTAGTCCAGCGGAAAATTTTCACTCACGTGCCGGGCCGGCGATGTAACCTCGCTGAAGCCACATGCTGGATTAAAACTTGTCTGAACATCGCAGAGCCTTTATACCCACGGGGATGTGGCGTGACTTAGAACTGTAATAGATTCGTTGGAAATGTCGTCCTTCATTTCTAGATCAAATTGAGTTGGGAATTTGATCCGAGACTTTGTATCTGCTTAGCAGGGAGCTTTGACGTTGTGGAAAGTTTGAGGGGAAAGAGACGTCGTAAATTACTCGACTGTCAGTTCACGACGGGCGGTATGGTGTCGGGAACTCAATGAGAGGCGAAGAAAAATACGTGGCCAGTGGTCGGCCTAGTCCAATTAGTTATAGCCGACCGTTGGCCATTCCTCGGCCACCTGAAAGCGACCAGTTGCCGCGAGAAAGGCGCTGGCTAGGATATCATATTACAAAGAGTACAAACTCAAGGGTAGAGACTGGCCGAGCTTCGGGCAGATCAAGGATTTTACACGATGGTCGCGAAAACCTCGCTCTCAGACTTCGCACGGCTTTCAATCAGGGCATTAATTCTTTATTCTATCTTAGTTGTGCAAAACTCATCCGATGATGAGACAAGGACGAGGTGTCATTCATATCCCAGTGAAAATTTACAGACGCGTCAGCTTCTGATTTGGAGTACCAGAAGCTGGGGCGACTCTAAATTTTGTTAGGGTAATATTCATGTCGTGGGTTTTACTTGTGTATCACGATATTTGTTATCTTATCTATCAATCTGTCTTAATGTAAACTATTTGAGTACTATTCGAGCATTTTAACGATCAATTCTGTTGAAGGATAAGGAAGCAAGAAGATCACTTTCGTTCAATCTGAGCTCGCGATGACTGACGGTACAGTTGATCCTGCTTTAAATTTAACAATTAATCCAAGTAAACCGGCGATTAGGTTGCTCAGCAATAGAACCGTCTCTCACTCCAGTAAAATAAAGCAGTGGGAAAATTATCTTCTACGGGTTTTTAAAGCAAACTGTCAGAACAATTATATTAACTACTGGGATATCTTCAAACTACTCCCTAAAGAAATTGGAAATAAATATTCAGAGTATATACTCAAATAATAGTCAAGTATATAGGTGAGTGCTTCATGTAATAGTAATGTTAAGCCATATACATGTATGATATTATACCTGTTCGGTTTGCTGATTTATAAATCCGCGAAATAAACATTGGATGTAGCATCCACTGGACGTTTGCATGTGTCCTACTTCTCACACGACGCTTCATTGCCTTCATCAGGCATTCTTTCACGCCTGACTTGGCGCAAATTGTCCTCAGACTTGCAGAGCAGGCGCGCTGTTTGAGCCTGTCTCTGTCAGGCCGGTAATGTGACGCTGATAGCGACAACACGCGCCTCTGACAGTGGCAACTCGCGCCTCTGACAGCGGCAAATCGCGCCTCTGACAGCGGCAACACGCGCCTCTGACAGCGGCAACACGCGCCTCTGCAGCCATGCTCTGCAGCCAGGCACAATAGTTAATCATCTATTCTTTTTAACGCCGAGTTTCTCATGTATATTGAGAGCGCGGGCCACAATGCAGGCTTAACAATGCCTGACCAAACATTAATTATTGGCATACCGGCATACATTGACTCACAAGACACTAGCCTCAGTACGTAATTAGACTTAGGCCACCTTTGTCAACATGACACAATAAGCCATAGCAGAATATCTTCCACGAGTTTTAAATAATATACCTGCTAATTGAAGTATAGAAAATGTTAATTTTACTTTGTATTGTAATGATTTTAAACGAAATATGCAGATAATTTAAACATGACTCTTTATCGACTGCAAACATACTGTTTTTTTTATAAAAATTATCAATTAAATACTATGAGTGTGTCATGATCTCAGTTCAAATAGGATTTTTGGACGCCCTCGATCAGCCGGCGTCCGGTTGCTGGCGTCTCGCAGGCGCTGAGCTTTGTTGTCCTACCTTATAATTGGAACAGCCGCGGCGCTCCATGCCAACGCCGCAAGCCGTGGCACTAGATGCCACTACCACAAGCCGTGGCACTCGATGCCACCACCGCAAGCCGTGGCACTAGATGCCACCGCTATACAAGCAACGCTAAAGCCATCCTGATCGTAATTGCCATCGGTAATGCCGCTATAAGATGACGGAATTACCTGCACTGATAAGAGGATCGATCCGAAGTGATCCAGCGATTTACTGCAAATCTGGATCATAGATGGAAAATTCCTTGAAAGAGGCTCAGCAATAACTTGGAAGTGTTTCATATTAAGGGGTGGACTAGACATTAATCAGTCATTGCGAAATGTAGCATTAGTAAGTGAGCATTCAGTAACAACTGAGAAATTTATCGTAATAAAAGTAATCTTTCTTAAATCAAACATAAACTCGTATCGTCTTTAAATTTTACTGAAATAAAATACAAATCCAAATGCAGCGGTTAAATAACTAAAATATCACAAGCAAAGCGCACCCAAACGAATAAAGGTAAATAAACTTTACGAAAGAGACATATTTTCGACTAGTTGTTCTTTAAATAGTGAACATGACAGTATAGATAAATGTACCCATATATTTAACCGTTTTTTAAGACTAAATAGGAATTTTTATTCAACAATTCTCTTATGATTTTTACAGTTTGGAGAATAGAACTTTTGGTAGGATTTGACAGTTCGAATAGAAAGTTTTAAAGTCACATTTTAGAAAATCATAATGTATGGAAAAAAAACATTCACTATTATTTGAAACTTAGAATTCAAGACTTCTCTATTATAATATTGTAATATTTTGGAAAAAAATTCATTATTAATTACAGTTAAGGCTTTGCAACGCTTAAAATTGAGATGTATAAATGATATTTGTACAAACATTTGGTATAACGGATTTAACTAGTAAATTTAAAAACTAAAATTACTCTGAAATTAATAGAGATGTCCTGACAAATCCAGTGGTTTGTAAATTGATAACTAATGACTCAACATTAACAATAAAGGCATCAGGTATCACTATGAATAATGCATCTGGATGCTGGTGCGGGCGGCTGATCCATGGTCTCGTTGTGAGCCTCCCTCAGGTTACTTGGTCCAGGGGACTGGAGGTGGCAACTGAGACGATAGCTCAACGTAGACGTGGTCAAGCCAATGTAGTTAATGTCGTGGATAAGCCCACAACCTTCGTTATAACAAGAAAATTTTTCAAACGACATTGGTTTCTTGTAGACGCCCCAATTTTTTACAGAGATTACATTTGGTTGTAAAGTTTACGATTTTATTTTATTTCAGAGTCTAAAGAGTTTATTTCTGTCATTTTTTTATGATGCTTCTGATGTTATTTTGGTTGAATGACTGCAGGAATTACTCATCTGTCTTTTAACGTTCCCATGTTAATATGATTTTCTTAGTAGATAGTTGAAGTGTAAGTGTTACAGTTAGATGCTGGTACGTCGTCAGCTCGGTTTTTGGAGTGATAGATAATTTAAGATATTGGAATTATTTTGTTCGCATGTCTATTGTTTAACGAAAATTGTTTGGTAGGTTCGTAGTTTGGTTCTCAAATCAGTAGCTAATGAGCTAATCGCGAATGCTCGTTGGATGAGGCGCTAATGGTGCTTGTTTTGCAACGCTATGGCATAAGCATACTTCATATTTAGCACTTTTCCGACGTCTGTTGGTTTCCGTCCTCAACATCAAGGAAAAATCACGGCTATATACTACAGAAATTCGATTGTTAGTGATTACAATGCAGGAAGTGAAATTTTTAAATTAAAAAATGTAGGTAGCTCAAATGCTACAAGTATAATTCATCAAATTAAGAACACCAATGAAAAAATTGTTAATAAGAATTTGTCCATATTCTACAAAAGAACCTGCTTTAAAAAAGAACGCCTGCTAAATTACACCAACGTATTTTACCATATAATTTCCAGCGATGAAAGTCTATATCTAGCTGAAGCTGCAGTTAATAGGTCGCTCGTCCTATATCGAAGTCACTCGATTTGCGGCAGCCGGCATTTCGCAATTCATATGAGCAGGGAAGATAATGTCATTTGATTCTTACTCAGAACTTTGGAAGCATTAAACGAGATAACGCATCACATGAATCCTTTCCATTTCGTGTTTGTAAAATATAAAAAAAAAGAATGCAATATTTATTTTTTGGAGCGCTGAAGAATAGAGAACAAGCTTGCACAAATGAGCCAATGAGTGAATTTAAGTTCATCCCTCTCCAGAGAAATTCTATCAAACTAAATAATATTTTACCGCTTCTAGGCAGCGTGTCTTTTAAAACTCAAGCCATTGAAACCATGGACCGATTTCATGTTCTTGTTGACGGCGGCACTCGGAAAGTCAACTTCTCCCAAGAAGTCAAAGCCTAAAATGTTATTACGATTATTTGGAGCTTGCCGAGGCTTGGTTTCTGTCCACTCGAGTTTTGTTTTTTCAGCTGGAGTCAGAGCACGAATTGCATTGCCACTTTGGAACTCGAATATTGAATTAGGATGCCTGTTGTTCCCATTATTTCTGTATGATTCCATAATCCTGAATGCGATTTCTTGAATGCCAGCGTGAGGCGTTTGAATCCGGCGTTCATTTCCATGATTCATTTTGTCATAATGAGGCCAGTCTGAGGATGCACCATTTGTGGCTCTGAGTCCTCCAGCCTCGACCATTTCAAAATTTCTGATCGCAATTCCAGTTTTGGCAAAAGCAGGCCGATACTTCTTGTAAATGCTCAGCGCCAAGTCAATGCTGTCACCTGTAAGGTTCAGATTGCCTATATAATAAGATGCGTATGAGGGGTTAATGTTGATAAAATGTGAAATAAATGTTGTATACAAAATTTGAATATTTTTTTAGCAAAGGTCCATGTTCACTTTGCTGATGAATCATGTTAACATGCGTTGATGCTTTTAACAATCTACGTGCGGCACGAGCGACCGGTGGGTTGCAGGGTCTTTTTTCCGGAGAAATTCCGTGATTTTGTTTTTTCAATTGCGATTGTGGACAAAAATTCAGGATGGCAGTACTACCTTAATAAATTTTAAATGAACGGAAAATTTTTGAATTTTTGCACCGGAACCTATAAATTTACCGGAACATTTAGAAATACAGGTCTTTTTATCCGCGGACTTGGCCGTTTTTAGGCCATCTGCCAGCGCCGGCAGAGTCGTGTCGCACTTAACGTGTTAAGCGTCTCACCATATTTCCAAAGAACGTTTATTTATAAACCTTTATTCTGGAAGGGAATTGAATGTAATTTTATTAACAAATATTTTCGAAACACCGAGTAACTCAACAGATATTCGTAGAGATAGTATTTCATTACTTATATGACTCCATTTTTAACTTGGTAATGCTCAATAAGATAACTCACCAACGGGTTCAACAGGGTATGGTGTATCGGTGTTGAGCGTGAAAGGTTCTTCAACTTGCTCGAACATTATCTTGTTGAGCTTTCCCTGGTCTAGGGTAGAGTTGAGCCTNTTCAACTTGCTCGAACATTATCTTGTTGAGCTTGCCCTGGTCTAGGGTAGAGTTGAGCCTAAGACTCTGTAATAGACCTCCCACGAAAACCTGCCAGCGGGGTCTGATATAATTATTTATCACGCCAGACCACTGCTTCACCGCGTAGTCCAGAATCTGCTCGTCCGTCGGACCCCACAGAGAGATTTGGTTCAGCGCGTTGTACACGTACAGGTTCTCCTCCTGCTCGGGAAATTTTTTTTTTCTATTAGATAGATTATTTGATTTATTAAATTCAAGACTTGATTATGCACAGCTCGTACTATAATTTATGATGGTGTTGGCTATTGTTGTGACGGAGAGTCACATGAAAGGTCGGGGAAATTCATCATATAAGTCCTACATGGATAGAAACGAAATTTCTTTAGTAATTAATACACATTTTATGATTGATTACTTTCACCTTGGATTGATTTTTACTAGATCAAACCATTTATAAGAAGTGCCAATATCATGTAGATAATAGCTTGATGAGAATTGAGAACAAATTCCATCTTCCACTTTCAGATTGACCAACATGGGCAGAAACATTGATAAACACGTCAGAAATTCCCGTGCTGGGGCCATACTTTCAAAAAAGTTATTAGATCGTAAGTTTATTAGCCAATCATTAACGGCCTTTCAAGCAAAATCCACCAATCACATACAAGAAAATAGAGCGTAAGCACTTACGTTAACTTAGCGAGTTTATAAAGTACGGCCCCTGAATTATATTCATCGATTTTCGAACCTGTTGATTGGTGGCGAGGGCGGCGGCGGCCGCCGTCCACCGCCCCAGCAGGAACTTGGACGACGTCGCCAGCAGGTCGTCCAGGTCCTGCAGAGTCTCGTCCAGCGCCGCCCCTGCTCTCCTGGACCAGATGAGCAGTCAGAACTACGTATTTAAAATCTAAAGCTTCTCAACATCAGGTATGAAATTATTCCAACCAAATATGGCCTCAGTTTTACTACTTTGCTCGATCGAAGATAAGTTAAGACTGCAATAAATCGTCTCGGTTATTCCATAAACCATTTCCATTCTACGCTCTTTGTGTGACATTTTTTCTCTCTCGCTTCGAAATATCGCCCTGATTCTTTCATTAGCTTCAATGCCAAGAACCGGTTTTTGGTCTCCCGTGAAATAATATCAGTGCTATGGTGATAAGCGGACACATCACGACGCTTTCTTAAACTAACTTAGATTCTCAATCAAACGTGATCCAAGCTACACCAGCAAACTATTTTCAGTGTGAGACACAACCTGTTCAACACCCACCACCCGTTCAACACCACCACCCGTTCAACACCCATCACCCGTTCAATACTCACCACCCGTTCAGCACCCACCACCCGTTCAATACCCACCGCCCGTTCAACACCCACTTTTTATTTAACACCCATCACCGATTCAACGCACACGTACCAGCCGTTCACAGCCCACCGACCACTCAACACCTACCACCCATTATACGCCACGCCAATCACCTGTGCAACATCTACCACCCACTAGACGCCCACCACCCGCTAACACCTATCGCCCGTTCGACGCCCACAGACCGCGCAGCACCTATCACCCGCATAACACCCACCTCCTAATAACACTACCCACCTACCCATCATCTGTGCAGCATCGATCATCCGTTAAACGATCACCAGAAGCGCAACACCACAACCCTCACAACACAACCACCTCCCTGTAACACCCCCCTGACCACCCACTTGACGCTGGAATACGACGCGTTGTTGTAGGCCCCCACCAAAGCCTGGGCGACGTGGCCGCCGAACACCTGCGTGTGCGAGTCATTCCTTACTGAGAAGACCTCTCATTGCACGTAATTAATCGTTATTTATTAATGAATCGTGAATATAACATTGATATTACCAATCTGCAAAGGTTTCATCATAGAGCGACAATAATAATTAATTCGATAAAGTTCTATATCAGCGTATATTCTATAACAACCACATTGAAACTAACACCATCACATTGAATGACTAACTAAATAGTAACAACCACATTAAATTTCGATTCACCATTGAAATTTTGTTCCATTGACTGACCTGCAGCACTTCTCTCGTCACGTCCACGAGATCATGACGGAAAGTCTCTTGCGTCGTCAGTTGGACGCCTGGTTCTTCAAAGGTCCCTGACGTCATTTTGGTCCCCCGGACAACGTCAGGTTTTCCCCCTCCGTCAACTGAATGTTCAAGATCCACAGGAAGCGACACGCCCCGCGCACGGGTCAATTTAGCAGAGGAGATCACACCGATCATCTCGTCCCAGGCCGCGATTAGGTCACTTACGTTATACGGGATCTGCACAAGTTGTACAACCCAAATCTATCAAGGACTATTTCCTCCAAGTATCTAGATTATTTCATAGATAATCTGCTAACCATTATTGTTATTAAATACAAGACGTGCATTTCTTATGAAAGCAACCAGGGGGCCTGTCCCCTTTTTAAGACTGGACGATCATGTAAGAAATATTTTCGAGGTTTTAAGGCACCGAACGCTTAGCAATCACTATTTTAAAATGGATTTGTCAAGTGTTGGTTATGAGCACAGTTTACGAGACTACTTAGGAGTACCATAGAATCAGCATTTGCAGTTCATGGCATTCGGATTGAATATTAAATAAAGAGTAATTATAAAAGTAAAATTAGGAGCTCCTTAACCAGATGTCTAACCACGGGCACAAGATGAAGAGACGGTCTGACCATGATGATGTGGCGGCCGTGGTTGTGGTAGAGCGATGTGTCGTTGTACACGCTCCTCTGTCAGCCACATAAAACAATCTTTAGTAAGCTGAATAGGATGCGATATTTAACTTCAGGAAACCCATGCACCTAAGACTTTTATCACTAAAATGTTCTAGGACATCACTGCATATACTTCGGTACTCAGTCGAATTACCCGTGACCTGAAACTGTTATAAGGAATCAATGGGCCATTACTACTGTTACAGCACACTACTGTTACTATACTACAGCACACTACTGTTACTAGAGCGCAGGCAGACGCCTTCGGGCGTTGGCTGTGCCCGGGGTGCTTGGGTAGAGCCAATGTCGGTATAGCAGAAAGACCCGCAGATTTCGACTTCTTGGGGTATGTTTCTCGGTGTTGTGCCAATGGTAGAGCACTGAAGAGGGTGCCCCGAGATGGTAGATGTTAGGCCGCAAGTAGGTAAAATCTCGAATATGTATAAAGGAGCGATGTGATATGTCTACCGTGCCGCTAAAATCTGAAGTTTCAGGATCAAGTGTAGATAGGTGAAGGGGATTTTAAGGCAATGGTGCCTGTGCTGTGGCTGGGGTTGTTGACTCAATATTTAACCAAACGTCTCTTAGAGTCGCGCATCCTGAAATAGTTTGCGTGTTCTTTCACTTTAACTGCATTGTTTCGTGCATGGAAACAGTTTTATTAAAACAACTTCCTCCCTATCATAATTGCCGATTGTTTGTCGGGGGGCACAAAACTCGACTCTCTATCGACAAGTTTTTTTTTCTGTTTGAATAATCGGATGCGAAAATTGTTGTATTTCTTAAGGCAAAGGAATACTGTCCAATTTGAAACAGAATCTACGAGTTAATTTCAGGTTTTCTTAAAGAAAAAGCGTTACTTGAAGACAGCCCCGCTTGGGACACCACTCAACGTTATAAAGTGACGAACACATCGACAACATGAAGGCTCTCGTTCGTAAAGACCGTCGCCGAGTCACTGATCAATTCTTTAAAATGTCCGCAAAATCATGGAGTTCAATTCTGAGGACATGTTTGGAAGTTTGCAACTGAGATTTGTACCTCGCCTTCTCTAAGGCGTGCAAAGGGACGTTGCCTCCAGGCATGTTTGAAACATGACCATAGTTTTTAAATCCCATCTATCGCCGTATGTCCTCTAGAAATATTTCGATTCCACAGACTTAAAAATAACGCGTTTTTCATCAGTGGATGAAGAGGACTATACTCGTAACAAGGCCTAAATAACAATGATATTTAAATATAGAAAAGGTTTGAATAATGGGTGAATTGATGTAGCTATGCATTGTGGTCAAGGGATAATATTTAAGAGACGATAAAAATTTGGAGAGAAAATGTTCAGAAATAAAGACTTTCTGCACTGTTGCACCTTAAGTAACTGGCGCAGCAGTGTTGTATATGTATATCCTCGCAATCGATTTTTAATAGAAATATGAAACACTATCGAAAAATCATGATTTAAGTATCCATGATTATTATAAGACACTCATTAATGGAAATGGACAAGTAAGGGAGAGGAAGGGGGGAGTGAGGGGAGAGGAATGGGGAAGCTGTGAGCAAGAAGCGGTTTGCGTTTTTTCCTTTGATTGAAGTATCCATTATTATTAATAAAAGAGACTTAATAGAAATGGACAAGTAATCAAGAGATGCTGACCAGTCACGGAGGTCAGCAGGAGCATCACTCCAGGCGAGGCTCATCATGAGGTTGTACATGACGTAGTTCTGGTCTATGCCCTCCATGGTGATGCCGGTGCCCATCAGGTTGCTGCTGTTCGCCCGGGCCGTTGCTAAATTCTAGAATTAACAAAAGGGAATATTGAGTAAGCTCATGTTTGTTTTCATCGGTGGCGTTATGAGAAAGGAAAAAAACATTAGTCTATTGGACATTAGTCTATTGGACGGGATAAGAAAGATCCTGGCTATATATTGTATATGCGACGTCATGTTGGGAATAGGGACTTGCCAATGTAGATTCACGTTCTAGTTTGTTTATCATTCGCAGCCTTGAAATAACTTAAAATTTTAAGTCTCTGTATACGGAAGACATTTTCAAATGCATTTGGGACCTGCAGAAGCATGTCGACATTGCCGAAAAGTCCGTCGGTGCCGCCGTAGTTGTTGAGCATGCAGAATATGAAAGGCTGGCCATAAAAGCCCTCGAACTTGTCGTACACCGGAGACACCTCCGCTGCGAGATCAAGCACCAGGATGCGACCCTGCCAATTATGCATCAATTACGAGGTGATTCATGAGGATATAGCAAGACCCACGCAATGTTCGGTGAACTGCGTGCTTAGTTTCACGGTTAAATGATGCTGATAGTAGGGAACAAAATATTATTGCAAGTTCGAAAAATAAGAGGATTGCTGTGCAAACCAACTAATGTTACACATATTTTATCAGATATTTAAAAATCACGCATTACCATCGTGAAAATACCTCTTGTGTCAAATCTTCACAATCAATCGAAAGCCGAAAAACTTAAATCGGAAATTAGGTAAGATCACAATAACAGAAATGACAAAAAAATCAGGCGGTCATACGATCAGTTCCTAGTAATTGATATTTTGCGCTGGACAATGAGCCGATCTTAAAATTCAGACCGCAATCAGGCAAACATTTTACCAGTTAATCACTTGCTTATTGATATCGGTCAAGAATAACTGGAACAATAATTAATGCTCTTCGGGCCTCACTATTGGCACGGAGGTGAGCAGGGCTTCCGCTAGTGGTTGGGTCCAGAAGTCGTTCAGCAACATCCAGCCCTGCAGCAGCCTGTCCGTGTACAGACTTCAGGTTAATATTGAAATTTTTAATATTGTCGCATTAGTTTGTAGCCATCAATTACTTACTGATTTATTAATTCTATAACTGAATAAAATTTTCACAACCCACTAGCCTCAGGTACATGCTGATGCCTCATGAATGGCACGTTTTCCAGCGTAATTTCGCTCGGTCGACTTTATGGAGTTAATTTGAAAATTTCGAAGATGGGAGTTGTTCGTCGTGGGTTCGAGCCCAGGGCCTATACTTTAAAAAAAAGTTAAGAGATCGTAAGTTCATCAGCCAATCATTGACCGCCTTTCGAACAAAATCCACCAATCATAGACAAGAAAATAGAGCGTAAGTACTTACGTTCACTTAGAGAGTTTTGAAAGCATGGCCTCTGGTAAGCTGGGTTCATTTCTCGGTATCGCTGGTGGACTGTGCTTGGTCGCCGTAAAAGGTGGTGCTTCCAGCATGGCCTTGGTTGATTGTCCCTATTCGAGCTCTGGTGCTTGTTACCTGGGAAGATCTTAAGATCTTAAGGAGTGTATAGGTCTTCTTGCATCAGACGCACGCACCAGGTGGCGTTAGCGTCCACAGCCTCCATGGCGCCGTAGATGGAGCGGCCGACCTCCGCCATGTAGGAGGGGTCGTCGCTGCTGGGGGTCTGCTCGTTGTAAGGGTCGCAGTTGTACACGCCGTCCGTGAAGTTATACGCAGCGCTCATCTGCACACACAACAGCTGGCTTGACTTGTACACGCGGGGGTTGTTGGTGCCGCAAGTATTGCATGAACAACTCGTGTAAGTTTGTCGGCGGCGTGGGTGTGGTTAGCATTGGGGGTATTTCATACGGAAGACACGTGAGTTTAGATTTGAAGACAGTAGTGCACCATACATTAGTAAATTGGTGCAAAAAATGTAGTGTGTAGACCTAGTGCCTTAAAAAGAGAAAATTCTATTAAAAAAGTTTGTCTGACTAATTTGCGTAAGAGGATGATAGAAATTCGTATATTTTGAAGGCAGCTGTGTGGAAACCTTTAAATTACATATAAAAAAATTGTAATAATACGAATCGTCGCCTCAAATAAAGTGCTACAATTTGGTTCATTTTTATAAATTTGACATGAAACTAAGGTAAAATCGATGACTGTGACTCACCTCCTGCATGAACATGATGCCGATCTGATGGAAAAGCGGGTCCGTGGGCTCCAGCATGTACGTCCTGAGTTATAATCACGACCATAACTCAAATTGCAGAAATGCAATAAATAAAAGAATAGTCCACAATAATTCATATCTTTATAGAAAACGTTTCGGTGACCAGCTCCATCGTAAGTTCGTAGAATCTAGAATCACAAATCAGAAGTCGCAAATTAATACATTGAAAGCAAAGAACGAAATTAAAAACCTAAATATACAAGTAATAGACGGAGCACAAAAAAAACTATCTATTCACAATTTCAAGGGAATAGGAGCTAACAGCTGAATTCAAACTGGGCCGAAGTTTAAAGATGTACAATGATTCTAAAATGCGCAAATCGGAAGTCCCGGAGGTGGAAGCTAACACCCTAAAGTCACAGTCAGAAACAGGGACAACACACTGCTCTGCGTGAGCGCGCACAGCCGAAGGAGGGGGGCGCGATAGATTCTAAAACGTTTTCTATAAAGATATGAATTTTTGTGGACTATTCTTTGCTTTTTAGTTAATTTGCGATTTAAGCAAACAAGTGACATCAATTACTTTTGTTTATTATCGACGTTTATGCTAGACAAGTCGGTACACACGGAGTCAGCAACACGAACATATTCGTATTTGGAGGAATTCCGATTATTGTGATGTTGTTATAGCTCGCAGTACATGAGCATGATTCTTCGTATTTCAAGTTTACATCCATGCATGGTAATTCAAAAAACAATCAAGTCACTACGCCATCGGAGAATTATCCTCCTCTGTGTCCTTCCGATTTCCTTTTACAATATGCGTTTCCAGTGTGAAATGCATCAAATTAATGTATTACTATCAGATGGTAATTGTGATTTCCAATACTAATACATAACAAAAAAATTACCGAAAAATATTGTTAGTCGGTAGTCGTAAAATCAGAATTAAAAGAAACAACCATCTTTCAGTAGAAAAACAAATATGTTTCTCGCAAAATCTAAATTATCTCATATCGTTTGCCACGAAATTTTAAACAGAAAGTTTCTTGTTTGGATAACGTTAGGTATCACTAATCTACAACTATGCCCACATTTGGGGCTGCCACTCGCCTCGTGTAAGTGTCATTGAAGTTTCCCCAGGTCGTCTGGCGCGTCATGTTCGCTTCTGGGAACAACCTGCCCGAATATCAAATAAAAGGGAGTAAACACATAGAATATATCTTCATTTAACTCTATAGCATCAGTCACAATAATAATTTGAACATTAGAGTCATCTGTTAGTTACTGCATTGACTAATTTATAAATTCCTTGCGAGTACAGGTCATAAAATTATTATCGGGTTCAAAGTCACCTCGATAATAGCTTATACAATTTCAAGCACAATTTCAGATCGGGACGACTGCAGAGTTGAATGCAGAGTCTCACTAGCTTGTCCTTTGCATTACCATGTCTAGAGGGTCGTACTCCCTATAAATAGGAACTTGGCCTTAACCATCAAAATGATCATTAATTCGTCAAGTTCGTAGTCAAGACTTTGAAGCTAGTGGGCTAGATCTCAAAGATCAAGATCTAGACAATGAAGATCATTAAGAATTTCTTCAAAATCGTGATTTCAACCATCAACAATATAATCAATGCTTTGCAAATCGTAATTATAAGATCTTGACGATCTTAATCAGGACTGTAACGATCGTGGTCAAGACCTTGGCGATCGTTGTCATGACCTCAGCGATCGTGATCAAGACCTTGGCGATCGTGGTCATGACCTCAGCGATCGCGGTCAGACCTTAGCGATCGTGGTCATGACCTCACAGATCGAGGTCAGACCTTAACGATCGTGGTCAATATCTTAGTGATCGTGATCAAGACCTTAGCGATCGCGATCAAGACCTTAGCGATCGTGGTCAGACTTTAGCGATCGTGATCAAGATCTCAGTGATCGTGATCAAGACCTTAGCGATCGTGATCAAGACCTTAGCGATCGTGGTTAAGACCTCAGCGATCGTGGTCAAGACCTTGGCGATCGTGATCAAGATCTCAGTGATCGTGGTCAAGACCTTGGCGATCGTAATCAAGATCTCAGTGATCGTGGTCAAGACCTTGGCGATCGTGATCAAGATCTCAGTGATCGTGGTCAAGACCTTGGCGATCGTGATCAAGGTCTCAGTGATCGTGGTCAAGACCTTGGCGATCGTGATCAAGGTCTCAGTGATCGTGGTCAAGACCTTAGTGATTGTAATCAAGACCTTAGCGATCGTGATCAAGACCTTGGCGATCGTGATCAAGATCTCAGTGATCGTGATGAAGATCTTACAAATCGGTACCCATGCATCCCCAGGCAGCTCGTACCTCTGCAGGGCGGCGGGCACGTGTCCGGCAAAGCAGGGCAGCACAGGCGTCATGCCCAGGCTCCGCATGGCGGCCAGGATGTTCTTCTGCAGCAGCTCCTGCGCCAGCATCCACGTCTGCGGCAGCGGTCCACCCCAGCCCATAAGGTTGCCCATGCGGTTCCTCGATACACAATTGAACATTGTACGGCTCAGTGGTTTTCGATCATTAGATGATCCACAACCTTTAGACGATCCGTGTGATCCCCAACCTCAAGTTAGTCTAGAGGGTTTTGCAAGGAGTCAGCAGTCGCGGTTAACCGTTATTTGATTGAATATTGCTAACACAGCTCCAAGGTATTTAGTAATTCTCAATACTGATTTAATCATTATGTCGACGAACACTGCCTTTGCTCTTCTTGAATAATGTACGCCACATCAAGAATTTCATAAATAGATGTAACACAAACCAAAGGAATATTGTTATTATTCGTGTTCATATTTTCCTTTTTGTTATAATTTTTTATATTATTATAATTGTTAATTAATCATTGTTATTATTATCCGTATTATCGTAAAATCAGTGTTTTGGTGACAAAATAATCTGTATCTGTAATTTGCGTACAGTAACAGCATCTCTCACTAATATTTATTTACTATAAGACCAGGAAGGCAACAATTTCAATATTCTTTTTTTCTTTACAATAACAACTGCACTGAACATCAAACAAATTTACAGCCAGGAGGCGTTCACGGTGGCCGCTAGCGACGCAGAGCAACTGACCACGCCAGGAACGCTGGACCAGCGAAGAAGGCGTCGAGGTCTTCGTCCGTGAGTCCCAGCGCGAGGTAGACCCTACGCCACACCGCCTCCTGGCCTGGGGCCATATTTTCAAAACTCGCTAAGTGAACGTAAGTACTTACGCACTATTTTCTTGTCTATGATTGGTGGATTTTGCATAAAAGGCCGTCAATGATTGGCTGATGAACTTACGATCTCTTATATTTTTTGGAAAGTATAGGCCCTGTACTCCAGCAGGAGGGTGACCATGGAACGCAGGAGTGTGGTGACATGGAGGACAGGGAGAACATGGTGCAAGCATCGTCTTTAGGCAGACAATTGTGAGGAATATTTTTTGGACTCCAGCAGGAGGGTGACCATGGAGTGCAGGAGGAGTGTGGTGACATGAAGGACAAGGAGAACATGGTGCAAGTATCGTCATTAGGCAGACAATTATGAGGAATATTTTTTGGACTCCAGCAGGAGGGGGACCATGGAGTGCAGGAGGAGTGTGGTGACATGGAGGACAGGGAGAACATGGTGCAAGCATCGTCATTAGGCAGATAATTGTGAGGAATATTTTTGAAATATCTTGATGATCATTTTTAATTTGGCCGTATCGAGTTTTTAACGATTTAATTGACAATAATGATTTTGGTCGTTTGAATAGTACGCGAAAAAAAGGAATTATTGTACGAGATGGGTATTATATATAGTTAGGAGAAAGATACCTATTCTTAAGAGGCAGAAACATTGAACAAGTGATATCGGTGACTAAAAAGTTATATAAATTTAACCAAAATTCTTATACGGAAAAGTTTAGAAAAAATTTGAGTGGAAGACATTTAATAACACAAAATAGAGGATCCATGAACGTTGGATAATATATTCATGAAAATTTGCTCTCAAGCCTTAGGAAGAAGGCAAAACAACTAATTTAATGGCAAAAAATTACTTGAGCTTTGAAACAAATAAAAGAAACCTGACTTGAGGGTGATGCACAATAAAAAATTAAATTTTCAATATGCATTCTAGACAAATATTAATATCAAACAATCAATTCATCTAAAATGCGAGATAAGAACACCATTAGACGATGACACGAATAGAAATGACGAAATTTCATAGGCGCGACGGAATTTTTTCTAAAGATACCATTTTAAAAGAATCATTTTAGATAAATACAAAAACTATTCACCGCTTGCTTATATTGTATGTGGGAATGTAAGTGTGAAGTATGACGTCGTACCTGTAAATGCCAGTGGCAGGTTGATGCCATTAAGTGCCATCCAGTCGATCTCGCGCTGCCATCGCTGCCACTGCCACCACACGCTTGAGTAAGACACCGTACACACGTTCTGGTAGTATCGGTACCTGTTGGGGTGGTGGTATAGGGATGGTGGTGAGGTATATAGTGGTAGCGCGCATGTTCGGCGCAATTTGAAAACAAATTTATCCTATTACGATGTTTATAATTAGGCTAGAAATAATTAAGAAAATATAGTTAAATTGTACTGCATGAAGAGAGGAAAAATCGTGGCAAAACTTGCTCTCGTGGAAATTGAAACAGTGGATCTGACAGAAGAGCTTTACGTTTTTCAATCTTAGTCAGATGATAGCAAATATGAAAAACTCATCACTCTAAAAATGGCTAAGGCACACACGTTGTCAGTTCCAAAAGTAACGGCGCTGGTGATACAATCTTCGGAAGGGCCCACGTACTACGATGTCTAACAAAATACAAGATACACCCATACTTTATATAGGTTCAGCAGTACGGAATTAGTGGGGTTTACATTGTCTCTAAAGCGTGATCAGCTATGTAGCTCTGAGGCTATAGTATAGCTGTGCGATGTGCATATTTAGGCAAAGCGTTGGCTACAGGGTTAGTTTAAGTGGTAAAATTTTTGGCCAACGTCTGCGCTGCCATGGCCGCATGACGGAGGCCAGCTTTGTTCAAAGGGAATAATCACCTTCATATTTCTTTCAGTGGGCACACACTCAAAAGGACGAATAGTATCCTATGAATTTACCTGTATTCGCAGCTACAACTTGAGAATAATCACCTTAAAAGAATCTGGTCTATCTTTTCTTGTTATCCAAACTCTACAACTATAACAAACCGCATAAATAACGAAGGAGCTAGCGTGGGACAAACAGTGACCTACGAGAAGCTTTTGGTCATCAAAACCTAACACTAACGTGAACAAATTTTTATATTGTAGCTAATTTAAAGCACAAAATATTAATTACGGATAATAAATTGCAATAAAATTATCATAAACTTGTCACTAAAAAACTAAAAAAAAAAACACTGAAATAAACACGCAAAGCGATCAAGAGGACGCACAAAGTTTCTTAATTTGCAAGGAATAGAAAAGACGATGAAGTTAAGCAAATCGCATTACCGATCCTTGGCAGTTATCGTGAAGTTGGCGTTTGGTAGAATCTGTGGCAGTGCGAGTTGATCGCCATCCCAAGAGACGTGGCAGTTGCAGTACTGCGTCAAGTACTGCTGCACTCCCCAGCTCACTGCCACGCCACTGCTGCCTTTCACTGCCACCCTGCCATCCTCGGCCGTCACCTGGTCGCAGGCAATACAATTCAAGTTACAGCGTGATGAAAAGTTGAATTTTAGTTATACTTTTATCCAAAGTTGTTTGAGAACTTTTTTTAGGATTTTGGATGTACACATTCGACACATTCGAATGTACCTACTGGAGTTTCAAAAGTTTGTAAAAAGAGTTTAATGAGCGAAGTGAATATAGAAGTAAAGATGCTCGGGGGCTGTGCGTTCTTTCCATTTACACGTCAAGTTGCATTTATGGTAAGGAAATAGTTCGGTGAACATAAGAGCAGGTGGAGTGTAATCAAGCAGCGCACAAGTAGAAATTTCTTCAAACGAAAGAATTATCACAATCAAATGGTGTCAATAACTCGGCAATACTCTTGTAGTCACCGTTTAGGAAACCACAGAATTAATTCTCTAATGGACATATCTCTCTAATGGACATATATCTCTAATGGACATATCTCTCTAATAGTCATATCTCTCTAATGGACATTAGACTCTCTAATGGACATATCTCTCTAATGGACATATCTCTCTAATGGACATATCTCTCTAATGGACATTAGACTCTCTAATGGACATTCTCTAATGGACATATCTCTCTAATAGACATATCTCTCTAATGTCCATTAGATTCTCTAATGGATATTCTCTAATGGGCATATCTCTCTAATAGACATTAGACTCTCTAATGGACATATCTCTCTAATGTACATTAGACTCTCTAATGGACATTCTCTAATGGACATAAATATTGAAGCAAAGAACATCGTCACCTGCACCGTGTCCCTGTCATTGACTGCCATGGATCTGTTGACAGTGAGGTTGAAGAGGAAGGCTTGCTCAGGCAGCAGGCGCGTCACGACGCCCATAGCGGCGTCTGCTTCTGACGCCTCGGAAGACCTCGCAGCTTTTTGGAAATTTTCGAAGTATTTACTGTGTTCTTTCCCTCGAGTATTGGCACGCATAGGATTTCAATGCATAAATTACCGCTACATTTATCTTCAAAATATTTCTGGAGAAGCAAGACCCTTTTCTTTTTTTTTTTTTTGAAAACGCAATGAGACAAAATATTTTCATTTGTTTCACATGACTTCATAATAGCGCCATATAAAAAAACTTGCTGTAATAAAACGTACAAAAGAACCTCTATATATCTACGATTCGATGTTGTTTCTTAAATATTACTGCTGCTAATATTTCACTTAACATAACTTACACGAGTATTTCTCAATTTCTCGCCGTTATAGCTACCTGCTGGCGATGATTCACTGTTGTCTGTGTGACTCAACACCAGCAACAGTGCAAAAATTGCAGACTGGTCGCTAATACGCATTTTTTTAAAGTCGCTCTTGGCAGGGTGAAACCTTCAATTGATTGGAATAACTCTGCCCTATGAAAAATGAAGAAATTTTCAACGCAATGATGAGCTAAAAGTTCCTTACAGCGAATATAAACTTCAAATACCAATCCACAATTCAGCTGACTTTTTTGCACAGTAATTCAATTATATCATACATGTAGAGTTATTATACGATGATATATCGGTAATAGTTTTACTTGTTACAGTCACAGCTTCGGAGTTGCTATAGACGGGCAACCCACAACCTCCCTCACCGTCAGCTCAGCACTAACACTTTAGCTAGCAAGCACTGGAGCCGAGCTCTGTGTGTATCAGTAGCCGATTATTTCAACAGATATCACGAGTGCTGATGCACTCATAGCATTCGATGCAACTGATGTTAAGGAACTTCTCAACATAGCGACAGTCAATCGACGCGCCAGCATAATAACCCCCGGGGCAGATTTGTTATATGATATCAAATATTGTTCAATATTTCGTTCAGTGGGCCCTAACAAAAACCAAATCTTCCGAGTAGCAATCTCGATAATTCCAATTATAAAATACAAATTTATTGCTTCTATTTCCCCTGAAGATATCCAGCCACAAAGTCTCATCTTTGGATTCCTTGTTCTTGAGTACGAAAGCATTTTTAAAACTGATTTAAAATATCTAGAATGAAAATATTCGAACTATAAACTAGGAAATCAAAGAATCAAAATTAGGAAGGTGAAAAATTTAATTGTTTAATAGCACTGGGTTTGCAATAAGCTGGCTGCATTATTGAATGCTGATCAGTCGACCTTCATGTTGTAAAAAGTGCGAAATTATGTTAGTAAGCACATGTGACAGGAAAAATTATTGTGTAACATTTCTCTCGATTGTACTCCGTCATTTATTCCTTATAACATAACGTAACATAACATAGTGATCTCGGCGCTGAAGTGTAGGCCTGATGTGGCCTGTCGCCGATTCTTTTCCTATTCGTGCCTTGTTCACAGATGCTAAATTCTCGTTTACAACTAGCATAGTGCGAAGAATGACGGACGACAGCACACCCGAGAACAATGGCCCACAGCTCAAATTCGGTTACATCCATCCTCATTGACGTCTATGTGGCAACTGGTGTTCAAAGCGCGCGGTCTCCTCTCAAACTACCGAGTACAAAAGTAGTGTGAACGGTTGTGCGCGGTGAGGCACTGCAGCAAACGACTCAAAGCGCATGTCGTTGCCACTAGTGTAAACGGGCTTTTAAATAGCTAGTCCACATACGATGTGCTTCAGTTACCCGCTTGCAGTTGTACGGGAGGGTTTGCGTGTCGTCTTTCACACCATCCTTGACAAGAATTGAGCTCCAGTATCGCCTGGTCTTGCATTCTTGCCACCTCGAACGCTTATTTCGAGGCGCCCGAGACTTTGTCGGGCTTTACTGAACAATTAACTTATTGTCATTGCAAACCTATCTCCTCCTACAGTTTTAAAGCTACAGCGATGAGACATATACCATTCTATTAGCAATTAAAATATCTATCGATTTATGGTAGTTTTTTCAATTTTGTTATTGTTTTGAAAATATTTTAAAAAGGGGTGGGGGGAAATAGGGGAAAATAGAAAAAAATTCGAACATTTTGCAAAAAATGCTCCCCCATACACAAAAATTTGAATTTCGAAAAACGCTACCATAAATCGATAGATATGGTCTTTACGCATCGAATATTTTAAAAAGGGGTGGGGGGAAATAGGGGAAAATAGAAAAAAATTCGAACATTTTGCAAAAAATGCTCCTTCATACACAAAAATTCGAATTTCGAAAAACGCTACCATAAATCGATAGATATGGTCTTTACGCATCGAAGGATATGCGTCTCAATGTTGTAGCTTGAAAATCCCAGGTGGAGATAGATTTCTACCGTACCCCCTTTTTTTGTTGTTTTCTAAGAATTTGGCGTTTTCTTTCATTTTTTCGAAAAATGGTCATGAATAAAAGCTGTCTACTTTTCGGTTTCACAATGGTGTACCAAGTACGCTCCTCTTAATAAAAAAGCCTGAGTTCAGCCGAAGTTGTAGATGGCGTTAGGACTGTCACTATTTGTGAGCCAATCGAGATTTCGATTTTCATATTTAAATGTCTAGCACCATTTTTTTATTCAAATCATGCTCCACATCTGACATTCCTGCATTTGCCCTCAAGAGGGATATCTGTTTTGCGTCAGTGTATACTGTTTTGTGCCACGCGTTTTATGCCAGTACCACTGTGCCGGCACTAACGCCAAACAAGCGCCTGTTTCGAGAAGGCTAAAAGTAAAACAAATAAGATACTTGAAAGTAAGAGAAAGAGGTCGCGGTTGAACCGTGTCACAAGACGGACGTGCGTGCTGCGCGGGATCACAACTGCAAGGAAACACACAGCTAATAATGCGTGCTGCATTATAATTATTAGCGAGTTCTAAATGCTATTGCCGAGTGCGGAGTGATAATTCACATTTAAAAAGTGCTTGATTTTCCTTATTTCACCACTCCGCACTGTCTGGGTTGAATATTATCTGAGATATATGAGTAGACAGGCTCAAACACCATGGTTCAAGTTTCTAGATTCAATATAATATGAAAAGGTATGATGCCTTTGACACCAGTGATATATACTATGGTGCTATTCTATTACAGCGTCAGCTGCTAAAATTACGGAATCACCTGGTTCTCCGCCGCATTTGGTCGATCCATTGTTCGCCATGTGTTCTGCAGTCTGCACTTCAGTCATTTTTTTTTTCAGTGTCGTCACTCGTCAGGAACGTCAGCTTTTACGTGTGACTCACTCAACAGTCTCAACTTCGTTGACAGCCCCTTATCATCTTATGACGTATGTCCCTGTGGGTCTCCAGTCCACTCTCCAGAAATCATTCATTCCCCGTTGCTGAATTGCCTAATTCATTTCATGCCCCTGCTCCTAGTCCTAAGTCGTAACTCGTAAGTCCTACTGATCTCACTAAAAAAACGCACTTAATATTCCGGTGAGCGGTGATCCGGTCAATTTAATTATTTGAGCTGTTAAGTAAGCTACCTCACCTTGCCAATGCCAGGCTGTCAGCGACCTCGCCCCTCGGCCTCGCCGTCACCTCCCAGTCCCACCCACCTCCCACCCACCTCCCAGGCTTCCAGCCTCCCACTCACCCCCGCCTCGGGTCTGCATCAGCAATGAATATCAAGATGAAAAAGACTTGGGAGTTGTATGTCAACAACAACAACAAGGAGCTGGAGCTGAAATTTTCAAGTCAAATTTAAGTCTTTGTTAAATGTTAATTGTTATCAACATTTGCATGGCAACATCATTGAAGTGTCAAGTGTACTCAGTACTCAATACTCATAGTGACAAACCCGTCAAACCGAGGCTTTTATAGAATCATTTAATTTTTAATTTCCTCATTTTCTCAAGATTTAAACCAATTTCTTATGTATGATAATGCAGGTATCCAGGATACTTTACTGGTGGAGTGGTGGTGAGGTGGTCTACATATACTGATATAGCTAGGACTCAAAAATGAACTTGAGGCCTGAGAGGGCAGAGAGGCTGAGGCCTGAGCCCTGAGGTTGAGGGAGAGTCTAAAAAACTCTCTGCTTTGCCACTCATTGGACATGGTTCATACAATATTCCTGAGGCAGAAGGATTCCTAGAATTGGAAACAAGAACCAACTTTCAACTAACACTAGGAGACAGAGTTACAAACTAAAAAACTGATTTGCAACTCTGAACTCATCCCTGTGCCTGCAGGCTGCAATAACATTTCTTCTTGCTTCAAGCATACAAGCAAGACACTGGCATATGTAGTAATAAAATGTTAATTTCATAATATGTAGTAATAAAATGGTAATTTTATAAAAGTTTAAAACAGCCTCAGGAAAGAACCATTAGAGCTACCTCATGGTTCTTTCATAGTTCATGAAAGCTATCTCAGTTTGTTGCAGCATGCAGCCACAGTCACAGTGCCACTTTGTAAAAATTCTCCCTACAAAATGAGATTAAAACACAAAAAATGTAATTCCTTCATTTTTTTATTCAGGCGCTCGCATAGTGACAAACCAGAGATTTTTTAGAATCAGTTCATTTTTAATTTCCTCATTTACTCAAGATTTTAACTAATTTCTTATGTATGATAATGCTGGTATCCATGATACTTTACTGGTCTACTTATAGTACTTGAAAATGAACTTAAGGGAGAGTCTAAAAAACTCTCTGCTTTGCCACTATGGACTCACTCACGCTCCCATTAACTTAAGACAGATTGGCAATCAAGTAAATTCTATTAATCATTTTGTATGTCTTTCATTTTCAGAATAAAAAGTATCTTTATGAAACTGTTTCATTACATAAGTACCCAAACTTCTTGCACAAGCTGTGCTATCACTGCTATGCTGTTTATTGTATGACAGAAGTTTATGGTTTTCTTAAATCTGCATGATCAGCATTATTTTCTTATTGCAACTGGCAGTCTGGCATTAATAAGTGTCTTTCTTGTCAGTTGTCACTAGTCATTGATGGCTTCACAACTTGGAAAAATAGTTGTTGGTAAGTTGGAATTCAAATACTAGAGTTTAGACTCCAATGAGTTAATTAGTATCACATTGTTACTGCTAAAATTCAGCATACATATGATGATCAATTGATCATGATGTTTGTATACTGTGCTGTACATTGTATATTGCTGTGATATGCCAACGCCATGCTCTGGCAAATTGTGATTGATACAGTAATCAATAAATTAATTGTGCCAAAATATATTCTAATGCTATTTTGTATATATGGTATGCTAAAAAGTGATTTATTTGTCTCTGTACAATATGTTTGATTGCTATGTATATAATGTGAATGAAGTATCATGAAATATGCCATCCCACCATTCATTATTAATGTGCTTGTCAAATACAATTAATTTTTGTTTATCATCTAGAAAATGATATGACTTCAAAATGAATTTCAGAGACTCTTCCTTAAAACATTGCATACTGTATATGTTGTGAACAGCTGGGGAAATGTACTCATAGAAAACTAAATGATTTTGAATTAGAAAAATGTAAATGATCTAAACTACTTCTCTGTCCTTCAGGCGGTGGATCAGGATTTATTGGATCTGCCATAACAAGCAAACTTCAAAAGAAAGGCTATGATGTTGTGGTGGTCTCTCGCAAACCTGGAGCATGGAGAATCACTTGGGTTAGAAAAAGAAATATGATCTAAATAATATTAAATGAAATATTCTTTGTTGCACAATTTGCTCCATGCTTAAATATATCTCCAATCATAATTCTTCTGTAGTCTGTTGTTTTTTACTTGCTATTTTTAAAATTTTATATAGGTAATTGTTTCCTCCCTTGGTGACATGTACTAGCATACAATTGTTACCCATGTTCATCTGCTCATCGGCTTCACTCGGTCACTTAGGCTTTACTTGGGCTCCACACTAGTTCCACTTAGCTCCATTTGGGTTAAAGTACTTTATCTTAATTGAGCTTACTTTGTGTTCACTTTGACATCATTCAGGATACGGTTCTATATTGGAGCATGAATACTATCTGGTATCCTGAAAACTGTCTTGTATCTGGTACTGTGGATACTGGTACTGTGCCAGTAGGTATCCTGGTTGTTGCTAGTATTTTGTATGCCATCCATCATCATGGATACCTCCCAAGATAAGCTGATTTTCTGAGATCAGAACAAGAAAATTTCAAGCATTTTTGTTCTATTTTGAGCAATGCCTTTTTCTCTCAAATTTATATATTATAATAAATTGGTGTGATTTAGCAGAAGCTTTTTTTATGCTAATTTGATTGAACACCAAAGCATGCTTCTTATTTGCATTTTAAATGAGTTGAACAAAATTTCTTGCTGGCGCTGGGAGATCAAAAAGCAGGTTGCCTAATAAAATTTTAATAGAATGCAACATTTTGAATATACAATACGGTATTCATTATTATGCAGGTGATGGTTTTGCAACGCTTGAAATTGAACTATTATAATAATAGATACTTTTCTTAATTATTCTTATGAATCACATTTGCGCTTTATTTCCTGTCCCGCTGATATTGAATTCATAATCATCTATAACAGTTATCAATGTTGTACAGGTTTCCTTCATACTCTGTAAGACGATCTGTTCTGTTCATCTATAACAGTTATCAATGTTGTACAGGTTTCCTTCATACTCTGTAAGACGATCTGTTCTGTTTGTTCAGGAGGAACTTTGTACATCAGGCCTGCCTTCAACTTGCGTGGCTGTGGTGAACGTCGCCGGTCAGAACGTCCTCGACCCAATGCGCCGGTGGACTCCAGGCTTCAAACAGAACGTCTGGGCATCCAGAGTTGAGACGACCAGGTGGGTTACTTCCTTCCTCATTTCTTGAAAATAAATCATCTATAAATCATCCATGGGCCTATTTCTTCAGTGCCGACACTTCTATTCTATTAATTTAATTTATAATTGCTTGATGTGTGAATATATTTTGGAATAATTTTTTTTCAGTACAAATATCTGGTCAATAATATGTTGAATTCACTATTTGCTTGATCAATGTTTTAGCATGTTAATGGTTCAAAATATTATCTAGCACTGAATTAGCAGGCCAAACCTGCCATACTGTTAGCCTGCTGTTTATTTGCACATCTAAAGTCAGAGCAATACGGTGTTAATCAGCAATGCAGCAACAAAAATGTTATTTTATATATACGAGGCTTCGTTTCTAAGTTAGTACCGTTTCAAATTACGAGGCTACAGCGCTGCGGCCGCCGTGTAGCTCATGTACGCCGTGTAGCGCATGTACGCCATGTAGCCCATNCGAATCAGTTGAAATTCATCACTAAATCAGTGAAACCAGTATGATGAAGATATTATGAGTATTGGAAAGTGCGGAAATGGTTTGGTGCTTTAAAGCCGCGCAAATATGCATGCTGAGGAACGAAGTGTGACGCCTTCAGTAATTACCGATAAATGATTCAAGAAGTCGGTTGTAAAATGAAATAGAACAGATGATTCACGATGTCGTCCTTAGCTTAGCACTTGAAGAAGCCTCTGGCAATCGGCGCCAGTCCGATGATGACGAAATGAAAACGACCATGAAGCTGTGGATGTCTAATCTGGCAGCAAGTTTCTCTGATGATGCATACAAAAGCCGGTCCCAAGATACTATAAATGTCTTATTATGAATGGGAACTATGGTCCCGAGATACATTAAATGTCTTATTATGAATGGGAACTATGGTCTCGAGATACTATAAATGTCATACGATGAATGGGAACTATGGTCCCGAGATACCTTAAATGTCTTATTATGAATGGGAACTATGGTCCCGAGATACTATAAATGTCTTACTATGAATGGGAACTATGGTCCCGAGATACTATAAATGTCTTACTATGAATGGGAACTATGGTCCCGAGATACTATAAATGTCTTACTATGAATGGGAACTATGGTCTCGAGATACTATAAATGTCTTACGATGAATGAGAACTATGGTCCCGAGATACCTTAAATGTCTTATTATGAATGGGAACTGTGTTGAAAATTAGAGTAAAACATGGCATTTTATTTGATTGGATTACTATTGAAAAAATTTACCTGTTTTTTTATGTCAAATAGTTACTTTATTATCACGCCCCGTATATTTACATCATTTGATACGAGTATTTTTTTTTCATCTATGAACCTTTTTTTGAATGACTGGATTACAAACCTATTTAAGTTGTATTCCTATTCTCCGTGTTGCGTTGTGCAGGTATTTAGCTGAGGCTATAAGGAAGACTGCAGTGAAGCCTAAAGTCTTTGTGTCGATGTCTGGCGTAGGTGAGTATAAACAGGTCCTTGCAAATTATAACTGTTATACTCTAACTGGAGCTTAATAATTGCAGGCACTAAACCTGGGCAACTGCAACTAAAACCGGAGATTGCCTAATAAAATTTGTTTTTTTTTTTTTCCTTCAGTATATTATGTTAATTAATTGATTTTACTATCATAACTCTTTACTTCGTATAGTTTTTCTGTCAAGACTCTTACATCATATTGTTTTACTGCTACTGCCGCTAGTTATGCCTTCCCCGTCTACTGCCTGTAACCACAGGCTACTACCCACCCGGCACGGGCGCTGAGTTCGATGAAGCCTCGGCTGGCGGCGACTTCGACTTCTTGTCGCGACTGTGCGCGGACTGGGAGGCCGCCGCCCGTCTTCCTGACGTGCCCGACGTTCGCACTGTCAGCGTTCGCACCGGTCAGTCCGGTGCATATGTCTTGTTAGGGACTAATGCTATTAACATATACTGAGAGAACTATTGCTTATTTCGTGTATCTAGTAGGTATCTTTCGAATTACGTAGCCTGCACAGTTGCATTACTGAATTAATGAATAATTAACAACCCTTGAATGTTCATTAGCCGCTTCCCAATCAGACAAAAACCCCTTTCCAATCAGACCAATCAGTCATAAACTTCTTTCTAATCAGACCAATCAGACATAAGCCCTTTTCCAATTGACCGCAACGAATTTATGAAACTTGAAATAATATTGAATGAAATCATGATGTATTAAAGAAATGATGATTAATACAATGCAATTATGCGAAGTTGTTATACATGAATTAACTAAATTTTAACCGATATGAAGCCCTCAATACTTGTGTATGTGTTTACAACCTTTACCGAATTCAAGTTTTTTATTGGGGGATGAAATTTAAAGACATTGGGTAAACGGAAATACTGATAATTGTTTTGCATTATATGACTTCAAATTTATTCGTCATTTGTAGCAATAAACTGAAAAAAATCGATTTCTCAATATTTTGTGTTGCTAATAAGTCAGAGGTCAGACTTACATTTTCGTCGTGCACGTCATTTCTCTACCTCTTTACTAGATCTTCATGCTCCCAAGTTTGTTGCAAGGGTTTTTTGCCCGATCATCAGAATCATTCAAAGTTGCTACTGAAAATTATTTCTTCGTGTTTTTAGCTCATCATCTCCACTAAATATCGCTAACGGCCTGAAATTTGTGCCTCTGTGGACATTTCACCTTTTGTATAATCACTGATAATTGCGTACCGTATTCAGTCATAGTAAGTTTTCGTCACTTTGTGATTTCCCTGCAATTGGGCCACTTGATGCCTAGCTTTGTGTGTCAGAAGGCTTGTGAGGCGGGCTCTTGTGCCCCTCTGGACAGGGTTCCTGAGACAGCGAGAAGAGAGCTCGAGGTGCTTTTCAGCAGCGCGGCATTGTTTTGGTGTGACGTCGTTTCTGTTCACCTAGTATACTAAATACGTAATGCTAACGCAGCTTCTTCCACGCCAACTTTAATGCGCTGGAGCCATACATTCAAAACTCGCTAAGTGAACGTAAGTACTTTCGCTCTATTTTCTTGTCCATGATTGGTGGATTTTGCTTGAAAGGCCGTCAATGATTGGTTGATGAACGTATGATCTCTTAAATTTTTTTGAAAGTATCATCCTTGATTGTGCATTTTAAATGCAAGGGGTGCGTTTTATTTTCACGAACTTTAAATGAGCGAAACCTCCTTAATTGAGGACTTTTGTTTGTACTTTCGTGATGAGGTGTAATTAGATATGGATGCGTTTTCACAATTCTGTTGCTAGTCGTCTAGGATGCATTACATTGTTTTTTGTCCGATAAATAGTCAATTTACTTTTCTTTATCAAACATGTCGGATGTTGTGCTTACAAACGAGTATCAGCGCGAAAATACATGTCGTGTTTATCAGAAGGTACTACTTGCCCAGCGTTGTAACTTTTCCTTTGTAAATTGTGACGGTTCTATATTAAAAACTGTGGTAACGTCAGATATTTCTTTGAAGAAAAAAGATTATTCTTTCCTGAAACCGTTCTTTCAAAATTTGTTTCTGTCTTTAAACTAGTATTCATCGCATGCCTTTTTCTGTGATGTTGAACTGAACTTCGGCCAATTTCTATTATCTCTAAAGCGGCCTCTAGACGCACAATATTTTTATGTTGTTCAATATTATTGAGCGTCTAGGGGCCAATTTGACGGGTTGCGCAACTACGCCCCTAGACGTACAACCATGTTGCGCTAACAGTCCCTGTCATACTCATGAAGTTAACCTGTTGACCGAAACTGAATCGTGTTGTGTCATGATTTTGTGGCCGAAAGCTGTAGAATATAGAAGGGTCGCAAAAAGCGAGAAATAGTTCAAGTACTGGCTTATTGACAGAGAATTTTATTTAAAAAGTCATTAAATAGGTAATGTAATGTGAGTGCTGTCTAAACAGTATCTCATACTGCTCCCATTTTTCGAACTACTGTTATCGTCTATGCATTTAAAATCCCATGAAGCTTGGGGAACACTATAAAGCTTAATGAAGTCTAGAAGAAGTTTCTTTCGCCTGCCATGATACGGACCAGTGATCGACATAACCATTTTGAACGACCGTTAGGAACGCACTTGACGAGATTATTGCACAATATCTTCCCGTTTGTGCCAAATATTTTCAATATTCTCAAAAATCACATAATATATTGCGCAACCCGTCAATAGACGCTCAATAATATTGAGCGTCTAGGAGCTGTTTTAAGTGTCACAAGTCGTTGCTGTCACTCACGTCGCGTGTAAACGTTTCACTTTCGAGAGGCTGTCTTGCCCAAGCGGTGACTTTGTGTACTAACTTAGTAAACAATCTAAACGCGCCGTCGCTCGATGTCAAAGCCGCACCACAACAAACTCGGCTTTGCTTGAACATCAACGACAGGAATAGACTTGAGGAACGGTCTCAAAAGTTGACGTAGCTATTGCTTTGAATTTCTTTTTACAAACACCATCAATTTTTGGCGAACAGAATTCCGCATAAAAATGTGAAAACTAATGTTTAGAATATCCCGTCCAGGATTATTCGAGTAAATTTTTGTAAACTTACGAATTCCAAAACTGTATTTGGACGGTCGGGAGATCTAACTCCTTCAGATTATGTTTGTAATAAACAATCTCACTGCCTCCCTAAATCATAGTTTTAACTTTTTCTTACTTTTTTCGCCGGCTCTGACAACATAACTTTCGTTTAGTTTAAAAGCCTATTTTTTCAGCCGTCGTCAGGCTCCTTGGTTGCGAGACTACCGTCTTCAATTAACGACTTGATATGCCTTCGCTTTATTGCATCAGAATTTTTTATTTATCTCCCGTGTTCTGTTCTAATTACAGTGATTCTATTTCAGAAGTGGCTGAAATGACACTTGTGAAATTCGGATAGCATGTTTGCCATTGCAATGTGAATAAACTTCTAGGCTTGGGGGAATTTTCAAGTTTAATTCTTCATCAATGAAACTGAATCTAATGAGCCCAATGGAGAGAACACAAATTATTTGATAATGAAACATTTACACATAAATACAGTGAAAATAATGCATGACTTAATAATAAAATAATAATGAAAATTACGCGTGCTCCAGTAATCTACGGAATTTGCACCCAACGTTTGATTATATCCAGCTAACTTAGTGTGTAAACTGAAATTTCTTTACGAATTGATTCTTTGAAAAACCTATGAATGTAAGTTAAATAACACAGACATCTTTCAGAACATTAGAGGCTTAAATATTTTGTTCGATATCAAATGATAGGGATGTTTTTCTCACGCCTGAGGATGTATTCAACGTCAATAAGGAACTTAAGCAACTAAAGTAATAGAGGCGTTGACTACGGCAATAGGCCAAATCTGACCTGTCGCTGATTCTAGAAATCGCATAAATCTCACAGCTCACTGGGGTCTCGCACACGCAACTCATTTTCCCGATCTTGCTATTCTCAACACCCCGGCAACTTCGTATATTTTGACTAGAACTGTCCCTGGAAGCTGGGATCGAACCCGCAACTCGCTGCTCCAATCCTGGTACTTTGAACTGTTACCACCTGCCCTTTCCGACCTATAAATGATTTAACCTTCGGAAAAATTACCGTAAAATGTTTAACGGGAGAAACGTTAACATAAGAATGATAACAGACATAACACTAGAGCTAAAATGTTCAGAAATACATAAATCCTGAGACATTTAAATACGTTTACAATATTCCTACAGTTAAGGAACGTCTTGATGTATGGGACGATCCGCATAAAGTCAGTTGCTCTAAAAATATACAATCGGTTTCATTAATGCCTAAAACAGATCTAAATAACTCCTACGATAATATTAGTTTTAAAGTCGCATGTCTTGACGTGTTCCAGCATCAGCGAGTACGGCAGCTGTTCAGAACATCCGTTGTTCGCGTAGTTGCAGCTAACGGGCCTGTGCGAGCAGTACGCTTCGTGTTCCGTTTTCTCGGCCTGCACTATGAGACGCGTGCAGCCATGAGACGAGAAGCGGCAGGGTAGCTTGAGCAGATGATAAACCTGTGATAAGATAAGAAGTTATGAGCTGTACGGACGCGTCTGGTGCTGGCATGGCTTCTGACCACATTACTTGTACTTCGAACTAAAGATAAACGAGATCAACCTCATGAATGTGATGTTGAGTCTCGGTTAAGAGCAGCAATGATTTTCTGTTATGAGTTATGAAACCTGCAGATCACTAGTGAAAATTTTGTAAATGCAAAACTTTCATTTAAATCACTAGTTAATTACAGTATAATTATATTATAAACTATTCATGTCTTAGTCATTATAATACATGAGACTATTTTTTGCTCAGGAAGCCTAGTGTTGTATAATATCATTTAGATAATAAGTTTAACCGAATACAGAACGCGCGGCAAGCGAATCAGACGCGCCATTAGTCAACTTTGACAGAAGGTGAAATCGAAGTGAAAGAAAATGTGCCAGCATTTAAAATAGGCGACAAGAGCGAGTGTTCCTGTCACCCATCTTGAAGGTCGTTACGCTTATCTTATTTTTACTACCCACAAATGAAAAGTCAGCAATGAAACGTCAAACAGAAAGAAAAAATGTAACTCTGTATTCACTGCAGTGAGTGACAGAGAGCGCATTTTCTCGTCGACGAAAACTTGAGGTCACGGACAGACGGACGGACAGACGGACAGACAGATGGACACAGACGAGCACAATAGTGAATTTTTTCCCTAAATGAGAAAATGCGCTAAAAATGATCTGTGCTGCATGTGAAAGGCACATACATAATTATTACTGCTTGTGCCAAACGTTGATTCAGTAGTCAATATTGCATCTACGAGGCATGTTTTTTAAGTAAGTACCGTTTTGGAAGAAAAAAGACGTGCAAAGATATCGCAATAATTTTTTTTAACATGAAAGCCTGCACCTTAATTTATTTTTCTACATAATTTCCGTGAATATTGAGGCACTTGTCATAACGTGGCACCAGTTTTTGAATACCCTCATGATAAAATTCTGCCACCTGACTTGTTAACCACTGACTTGTTAACCACTCATCAAATCATTTAAATGGGAAACTCTATATCATCCTACATACAGCCCTGATCTGGCACTTAGTGACTACCATTTCTTCCTGCACTTAAAGAAGCTAAATCTTGCAAGATATTGCAAGATATTGCAAGATATTACTAAATCTTGCAAGATATTGCAAGATATTGCTAAAGCTTGCAAGATATTGCAAGATATTGCAAGATATTGCTAGGTATTGCAAGATATTGCTAAATCTTGCAAGATATTGCTAAATCTTGCAAGATATTGCAAGCACGTGGGCGGTCGGCGTCTTCAAGACGATAACGAAGTCAAAACATTTGTGATGCAGTGGTTAACAAGACAGGCGGCAGAATTTTATCAGAGGGGTATTCAAAAAACTGGTGCCACGTTATGACAAGTGCCTCAATATTCACGGAAATTATGTGGAAAAGTAGATTAAGGTTCAGGCTTCCATGTAAAAATAAAATTATTGCGATATATTTGCACGTCATTTTTTAATTCCAAAAACTGTACTTACTTAAAAAACATGCCTCGTATTAATGCAAGTAAAGAACAGTCGATCATCTTCCTAACATGGGCCTGAAATAGGCCATGGGCCTATTTCTTCAGTGCCGACACTTCTATTCTATTCTAAAGGAAAAATTATAGTGTGCAGCTAGAGGAAACATCAGTCGCAAAGTTTAGGAATAATTTGGAGGGAGCAAATTTCTTCTCACCTGCTCCATCATGACATTGCAGCCTTCGGCGTAACGTTGTTTGCATATGGGGCACACGTTCTTAGAATTAAGCTTACATTGAGAACACACAATGTGTCCTTTCCGGCACTGTGGAAGAGGAGGAGACATCAACATCTGGCATCCTGGACACAGGAATAACTTAAGAAGCTCTTCATAAGCGATTAAAGAGGGGTCGCCACCGATGCTCCCGTTACAGGCAGCTGTGGCAGATGCAATAGCCCGTCGAAACTCCCCACTCTGTTCAGAAGTTTCTGTTCTTTTAAAGATGATTTCACTTTTCGATGGTTTTGATATTTTACGGACAAAGTTAGTCCCCATCTGTCGGATCGTTTTGTTCTTTCTATTCTCCATGGTTGAGCTCAAAGAACTGGACTCTGATCCAACCGGACTGGAATTAGCCATTTTGTCCCCTGTTCTGTGTCGCTTAGGAGAACTTATAAACCTCCTAAAGTTCTGAAAATGGAAATAGTCGCCAGACAAACACTGACTACTTGAAGAATGACACCGGTGCCGCAAGAGAGAGCTGGCGTTTGATTCGTGCTTCGATTTTGTCAAGTATTTGTCGTTGAAACTTGCACTTCGACCAACTGTTATTGCAGTAGGGACTGGGAGCGTTGAACTAACCACGGTTGGTTTTCCTGACTTCGAATCATTATCAGTAAAGATATTGATATCGTCTTTCGAAGTCAAAGTGCTTACTTTCCCGCCTTTGAATTTACGTTCTCTCACAATCAACTCTGTTTCAAAAACGTCACTCTGCAAATTTATGTCGTCTTTCCACTCGTTGAGGAAAACTTGAGGATTTACCACACCAGTCTTACCTTGCGAAACAATCGTGCCTTCATTTATTTCCTGAGTCACACTTTCACCTGATTTACTCAGACTTAAGTCGGAATTTCTCCTGAGTAATTTCTTTTCGTGACCAGATGAGATATGAATATTTTTATAACTGTTTGAATCGAAAAACGAATTCAAATTTTCCCTATTACCATCATTTCTGCAGTTATGGTCAAATTTTTGGCGCGTGTACAACTTTTTGGGCTGGAGATCAACAACCGCGTGGGCTGAAGAGTCACGGGCAACTCTTGCATCAGTCAAGTGAGAACCCGCGGCTTGTCTATCCTCGTCCTTGTCAGATGCTGGTAGACGGCGACTGCTGCCTGACGCAGCAACACACTTGCCAAGAAGGAAGTCTTGTCGCGTTAGGGACCCTTCCCGCTTATCACTACATGTAATCTTACTGGTTTTGTTGCATAAACCTGAGGTAAAATTAGAGGCTTCTACCTTCGACACTCCAGTATTTTCCTGTTTGTTGTAACTACGATCGATACCAAAGCCTTGAAGTTCGTTTTTGATTCCAGGATAAACCCCTCGATCGGTAAGCAGTTGTTGATTGCTGGTCGAAGGAAAAATTTGAGGGCATGTAAGTAATTTGTTGCGAGATTTTTCCGTTCTGCCACAAATAGTTTGGTATTTTATTGCCGAAGAAGCACTTCTCCTGGTCTTATCAGAATGGTTGTTACAATAGGCATGGAATTGGACAGGATTATGCGTGATAATTTTTGACTTATCTTCTGACTTTAATAACGCTGATGACGCCGCAATCCCCGTTGGATGGTTTTGTTTCATCTCATCATGATAAGTTGAGTGATATTTGTTCACTTCAGTGAATTCCTGCTGCGTCAAATCTGAGAATAAATAATTTTGTTCCGTTTGCGTTCCTGCATCATATGTATAGGTTGTTAATCGTCCACTATCTATAAGAGAAGAAGTTTCATTAGTTTGGTTTTCATAACCCTTCCGCATGTCGCTATTTACAGCAGCACTGCAATATTTTGTCGTAGAAAAAGCACTTTCCTTGACTTTCTTGTTAGGAGACGCTGTGCACAATTTCGTTAAGTGATTTTCTGGTTTATGAGATATAAGTCTGCTTGAAGAAGCGCCTTCGCTTTTTATTTTCAATTCCTGACTTTTCTTAATTTGTTTTGAAGTAATAAGCACATCCCTGTTCGCGATATTTCCGTACATTGATTGTTTTGAAAAATGGTGAACTTTCAACTGAGGAGGCGGAGTTTCATGTTTTAAAAAGATGTTAGATGTTGCTGTCAAAGCTGGGTCTTCTGTTTCGCTTACGCATGATTTGTATGAATCCGATTCTTCGCTATTTGACCGTGACTCGGTAAGAGCGTGACTTTCCAATTCTCCAATTTCTCGTTCAGCAACAATAATCTCTTTGTCTAAATTATCGTTTTTATCTTCATCCTCTCCACACAAGGATGACTTAGAACGTAAATGGTTACTGACGGTTTCGACGAATTCTGAATCTTGTTTGTCCACAGAGAAATTGACAGCTCCTTCGCTAGTATTCATTAAAATTTGGGAGTAAATAAGGTTCTCTCTAAAGTCCAAATTTTTTTTCGGCTCATTGAACTTATCTTGTGACTCGGAAGACAATGCAGGACCAGAACTGGAGTCGATCGTGTGGTGCTGAGGCGAAGATCTAGTAAATTGCAACCGTCTAATAGTTTTACCGTCAAAGTCCCATTCACTCATAATGTGCTGGTCTTAAACTATTTCAGCCAGGTCGATAGTGGCTCTTCACTTGGGCAGCCAAAATAAGAAATTAAATCAAAAGTTTTATTTGCGCCTGATGAAAACAAACAAATTCGATATATATAAAAAATGTACCTCATTTTTTATTCTTTCAAAACTGTAATTAATTTCGGTTGATAAACTTTAAACTGAGGGAACTGTACACTGCCCTTCAATGTTTGTTTCGAATTCATTTTTTTTATTGGAAGAATGTCAAATACTTCGTGCCTAGTATCACTTCATAGGAATGAACTTTGGTTCATGTTGCACGAAATTAATTAAGCTAATAACTATATTTCACTTCTCATCATTGAAGTTTATTAGACATATCCCATAACTAAGTGTAGCCTTGTGTCATGCTTCACTTCTTATCATTGAAGTATATCAGACACATCCCATTACTGTGTGTAGCCTTGTATCATGCTTCACTTCTTATCATTGAAGTATATCAGACATATCCCTTTGCTGAGTGTAGCCTTGTGTCATGCTTCACTTCTTATCATTGAAGTATATTAGACATATCCCATTACTGTGTGTAGCCTTGTGTCATGCTTCACTTCTTATCATTGAAGTTTATTAAACATATCCCATTACTGAGTGTAGCCTTGTGTCATGCTTCACTTCTTATCATTGAAGTATATCAGACATATCCCATTACTGAATGTAGCCTTGTGTCATGCTTCACTTCTTATCATTGAAGTATATTAGACATAGTCCATTGCTGAATGCAGCCTTGTGTCATGCTTCACTTCTTACCATTGAAGTTTATTAAACATATCCCATTACTGAATGCAGCCTTGTGTCATGCAAAACGTTGAAGGCACTTATAATGCACAGGGGAGCACAACGCGGACATTCCTGCAACACTGCCGAAACTAAGAATAAACTGGAGGAGAGGGACGAGCGTCACGTGGCCGGGAGCTGGGAGCTGTGAGCCTCGTAACGAGATTAGAGAGAACTTCATGCGCCTCTGCCCTGATTTGCGACTCTGTTCAATGATCCTCGTGTTCACTGCATTAGAAATTCTTTTTGTGTGCCACGATCCTCGTGTTCACTGCATTAGAAATATATTCTTTTTGTGTGCCACGATCCTCGTGTTCACTGGGTAAGAAATGTATTCTTTTTGTGTGAACCGATGGGATGATTCTTTCATTGCTGTTATAGAATAAGAAATTTATTCTTTTTGTGTGCCACGATCCTAATAAGAAATGTATTCTTTTTGTGTGAACCGATGGGATGATTCTTTCATTGCTGTTATAGAATAAGAAATTTATTCTTTTTGTGTGCCGCTACACAGTATCCTCGTGTTCACTGCATAAGAAATGTATTCTTTTTGTGTGAACCGATGGGATGATTCTTTCATTGCTGTTATAGAATAAGAAATTTATTCTTTTTGTGTGCCGCTACACAGTGTTAACCGAAGGTATGATTGTTGTGATGGATTGGCATTTCTTAAGCTAAGAACTTTCTTATGTTGGGGATTTAAATATGTACAACAGTGATCTGAAGGGAATCATATTTTTTTGTGATTATTGATCCTTCAGCATTATATGAGATGTCCATGAAGCCACAAATTGAATGTATTCGAGAACAATCTTTAACGCACGCGATTTTAGCACTTAATACTTAATAATACTCTGAACACTTCATGCTTAATACTACGCTTCATGTTTATTTATATTAACTTTTCATTCTGTTACTGTGAAATCTTTATATTTAGATGATCCTCTTTCGACATTATCGCGCATATAACAAACCATGGTGATTTTTGTGCAACTTCTATTTTATACCCAAATGAACCCTGATTGATCTTAATTTGTATTGTCGATTGACAGTATACTTGCCTAAAGATATGACTGGATGGAAAATTCTGTATCTCCAACAACTTTTCAGAAGTAACATTGATGCAATCCCGAGAACCGGCAGGTTTTAAGTTCCTCAGCGTAAACCTCCGAATTATCAACATTTTTATTATTCTGATGTTATATCTCTACAAATTATTTTTGTCGATAGTTTGATTGACCGGTTCAAGGTTCCCCCAAGAAACCACGTCAACGCCGTGTTGGCAGTAGCAAAAATAACATCTCGAAAAGTTAAAACTTGGAAAGAATTGATGGACCATGTTGAAGCTAGCAATAAAAAAATGCCTGAATGCGTTCCTTGAGTATTGCTGGCAACTTTTGCGTTCAAAATTATCAGAAAGCTTTTTAACGTTAAAAACAATCTTAAATGTCTTTAAAATGAAAGTTTTAAAAGTGCGAAGGCGATTAAATAATTGAAATATAATTTTTAGTTTGTTTTCTGCATTGTTTATTTACAGGTAAAGAACTAAATTTCCTTCAACTTTCAAAACTGAGAAGAATTCTTTCAGTTCCAGTGCTGATAATGTTTTGGAAGGAGTTCCCTAAACTATATACCATTTTAGTTAAAAAGTTATTGACTGGATAGAAGTGAACAGGATTCTAGAATTATTTATTCTGAGCAACGCTAGATAAGCTGATGAAACAATGAACTTTAAAATACCTTTTATTATGAATTAAATCCAGTTTAAACTAGCAGTTGATTTCAATGTCGTAAATCTTCACTTTTCCAATCCAAATAACAAATTTAAGTTCATAAGGACAAACCATAATTCACTTTTTGACTACTTTGATTTCAGAATTGAACCGGAGATTCGAACTTAGCTCTCTCTAGATTTAAGATTTAATTTCATAGATTTTTTTTCAAAAGGTGTATAACTCGCAAGATAAGATCTGCCAAGACATAATGCCAAAGGTTAGCATTTTCAATCCTAAACAAGAATGACTAAATGTGGAAAGACATTTATGGAATCAGGGCAGTATTATTTTTTAAGACATATAACTAGTAATACTAGATCTATTAAGACATGCGGCCAAAGATAAGCATATTTTCGATGGTAGCATTTTTATAAAGCTTATTTATATCATTCGAGATATGAAGCCTGAGGCTAGAACTTGTTCCAAGCCGTGTAACTTGCAAGACAAGATCTACCAAGACATACAAATTAATGCATGAGGTAGGCATTCTAACGATGTTAGAATTTTTATGGTGCTTGTAATTCACGAATTAGGATCTATCTGGCATGAGGCCAGAGATGCCGTGGAGCAGAGCAGCACCTCTTAGCAGTTTCATACGCGCTATAATGTGCTAGACAAGCTGCGGCAGAACACGAGGCGTGAATATCTTATTTTTTGAGGCGAGCAACTCAGTAAACTTCCACTTTTAGATATGTGAAGATGTAAGGCTGGCTGTTTGTAGTTTGTAGTCATGTCTCTCGAACTATAATCTGTGTTCATATTGTTTTTTTTTCAGCTATCATCACTTTAGTTGTATCCAGTGATATTTTATATACTTTCAAATTAGCATTACCATTCACAAAACAAAACGCTCCCGTCGGCTTTTTTCTATAAGCCAGTGACAAGTGATTTGTTGATCTGCCGCCTGCGTATTCAATGTTTGCAGTATTTTATGTTTGCCGTATTCAATGTTTGCCGTATTTTATGTTTGCCGTATTTTATGTTTGCCGTATTCAGTGTTTGCCGTATTCAATGTTTGCCGTATTCAATGTTTGCCGTATTCAATGTTTGCCGTATTCAATGTTTGCCGTATTCAATGTTTGCCGTATTCAATGTTTGCCGTATTCTATGTTTGCTGTGCTCAATGTTTGCCGTAAATGTTTGCCGTATTCAATGTTTGCCGTGTTCAATGTTTGCCGTATTCAATGTTTGCCTTATTCTATGTTTGCCATGTTCAATGTTTGCCGTATTCTATGTTTGTCGTGTTCAATGTATGCCGTGTTCAATGTTTGCCGTATTCTATGTTTGCCTTATTCAATATTTGCCGTATTCAATGTTTGCCGTATTCAATGTTTGCGGTGCTCAATGTTTAAGTCAGCTAAATTATCATATAATTATGATGTAAGGAGAGCGCGTCTATCCACTTACTGCGCGAAAGAAAATGCATATTAAACACATGGTAAAATATTTTCCCCTAAGATGCCCAATACCTTCTGACGTCAGGCAATGCGGCATGAGTTGCGTTGTTAATCTTGTGCTGATGGACGAGGCCTGATATAAGCTTCTAATTTAAGCCGCCATACAACGGCCTCAGCTGCCTGACGATGGTCTGACAGACATGCATGCGTACACTGAGCATATATACTCATAATAAGTTACAAATAAAAAAAGAGTGGGACGTTCACATGTATTTTTTTTAATGGTAAACAATACGACTTAATACAAAGCTTGAATTAAGCTATCAAGAAAGCTATTAAATTTCTTTATATATGAAGTCGAATTATAATAATAATATATCCATCGAGTGGCGTAATCTATTGAGTTGCATTAATCTATCTCTAATGAAAATAGTAATCATTAAAAGTATGTTGTTGAATAGTATCAACAAACTGAATTTTGATGAGATTGGGATTTGTAGAAAGCAAATGAAAATCAACTAAGATTTCCATGACAACAGCCTAACACAGAGGCTGGAAGTATACATGGCATCCCATACAGGAGCACTCGAGCCAGGGATTATAACATTTCTCAATAATGTTTAACAAAATTTTAGGCAAGTGCCATTAAAAATGGCAGACTTTCTTCAATTCTAGTTCATAATTTCTTGCACAGCTGCAAACATGGAGATATCACTCGTACCATCGAAAGAACTAATAAATACGCGTTAAGAATCAAGCAAACCAAAAAGCAATGAAAGCGTGAGAGCCGAAATTTCGACTAAATCTAATCTACTCCAACATCTATTACGAAATTTACGAATACTCAGCAGCATCATTATTCCCATTGTATGCCAGATGCTACTGATGCCCCAAGGCGAAATGTTAACACCATGCGACCGAAGTGCAGGTCGGCTACAGAGTGGTCATCGCGGCGCTGCGCCTGCGCTAACGAGGCGGCTAGGTTAATGCTACTTACGCACGAGTAATTTCGTCAATTTGTAACCAATAATTAAGAAATTAATTACACATCTTTTACTGCCCAATATGCTGCGGAGATGATTTTGCAGAGAACTGTAAAACTAGTCATATCAGCGACTTACGAACCCTAATTTCGGCAATTCGCAAACTATCGTTATGAAATGGAATACACACCTTTTAATGTTAAATGCGTGTTTTTTTCTACGAGTGTTTTCCTCATTCCTAAATCAGCAAAATTTTCATGAAAATGGTAAAACGGGATTTTTGCCACCAGTGGACCGGTGGCAAAACCAGTCCACTCAGCTGCGTAGGGAATTACCAGCGTTGTGCATGTGCCCCGAACATTGAATTCTGTGTGTAACCTTAACCCAACATATCTTGATGGGCACTCATAGAGAGTAGAATGAAATCATGTGTCATTTATGGAAGTGGTAGTTATTTTTATTTAATTGTGATTTCTGGTTATGATCATGTCTAATTGCACAATTAGAAAGGTTCCACCCTTTAATTAGCCGCCACTGCTGTAAAATTAATTTACGAAATCATGGTTCCAATCAAAAATTAAGCCGTAACGCTGACACCATATAAATATTATTTACCCTGGCTCCAGTACTTAAATTACTGACTTGATGTTTTGACTTTTAACTAGTAGTGGTCAAGTAATAATGATTAATATGACGTATAATTTCAAATTATTTATAACTCACATATACTCACTGAAGCACTAATGGTAAAATTTACTATTCAAAAAGAAATAAAAATCGTTTGAGACGATCGACAACTTCCAAAGCCAATTATTTACAATGATTTGTTAATCTACTATGCACGCCGAAATGTAGAAGCCCTTGGCGCACATCATACCTCGGTATGCAAAGGTCAAAGACAATCTATAATGTGCACGAAACGCGAACGCCTTGCACTACAGTTAATCTGTTAATAATAATAACAATAGCGGTTTCAGCGTTTAGTAGGAAGTAGGCCTGTCGCCGATTCTTAACATCGCAGAACATCCTCAGCTTGTTGCGGCCTCGAACTCGCAACTCACTGCTACAATTCTGCTATGCTTAAGCCCGGCTTCCTTGCCGATTCTGACCAGAAACTGTGCACAGAGCTGGGATCGAACCCGCGCCTCTCTGCGCCAATCTTGATACTCTGAACTTTAACCACTGGGCCACCCTGCCCACAGATACACCCATTTTACATGTTGGAATACGGGATAAGATGAAAATTTTAAATTCCCTCCACAGCGCATTGGACATTAAAATGAGTGTACGTAATCTGATCACGCAATCTCATTATTAAAGGTTGTAAATTGACAAAATTAGACGCACGAAAGTTACTGAAATTACTCGCTTTACCGTTTTAATGAACTGACTGAGGTAAAAATTAGGAAAAATTATTTTTACAGCTCATGGGGCATTGCAATATGTTTATTAATTCTCATAATCATTGATTAAGAACTGATGAAACTTAGCTTGGGTAGGTTGCTGAAATCACGCTTCTTCAGTTTTGCTTGTAAAACAGAAACATGTATAAATATAATAAATCCCGCCACAGCGCATTGGGATTTGCAAGGTGCGTACTTAGCTTAATAAAGCTTGGTAACAAATCAACTTAATTATTCGTGCGTAAATTGCAAAACCCAACCGTTTTACTGCGCGCAGTCGCAGTTCCTTGATGGCCAACGCAGTCAACCATGAACGCAGTAGCCCAGGCTAACTCACGCACTTGTGTCGGAGTGATGACTTCTTACCATTAATGCTCAGTTCTTTGGTTCACTTACAACTCTCTCTCAACGCTCAAACTTCCAGCAATGTTTCTTACGCGTTAAATCTACCCGACACACACCATCGTTATCCGAGTCCTCCGCTTACATTACAATCCATATACATGATCAAGAAAGCTCGAATATAGCAATGATACTCTGTATTAATATGGACTTGAACTAACCGACCAGCTGTTAAAAAGGTGCATGGTTGGGGCGTGCCAAGCTCGTGCATATTGAGTAAGTCACGTCTTAGCTCGCCACGGTTGACAGAGCTAAGTATGTGCACCACTTTGCCCTCTGCTGGAACTCTTCCAATTTTATTTTTTAACTCTTTTGGCGCTGAGCTCAGAGATATTGGATTGAGATCTGACCTTCAATTTGTTTGCGCACGTTTTTTTTCTTTTGCGAATTTTTTTCTTTTAAGCAAATATATTTTAAACGGATCCTGTTAGAGTATATTTAATACGTTGAAAAAAAATTTGATGAGAATTGCCCAGCCTGTTACTATTTCACAAAACTGCATGCTGTTCATTATCAATGCTAAATTTTTGTAATCAATTCAGATTGTGCATTGGATTTAACATCTCATATTTCATTAAATCGTATCATTATTAATTTCATTCAGAAACTTTTTATGTTATAGTCTAATGAACCATACATAAGCTGTATAATTAATTAACCCAGCGAGGCCATAAATTCGAACATTTGAATTCTAAAATCCTTGGCAATGATCCCTCGTGTAGCATCGCAGGCATAGCTGCGTACGTGAGGCGCTTTGGCGTCTAGTTACTCGCATGCATGACGCCATTGACGCCACAACGCAATAAACAGGATATGACAAGACTGACATCAGTACATTCGCGCTGATCTCAAAGACGAAATCGGAAGCTCTTCTTGTTAGTTCATATTCTTAATAATAATTAAATTCCGTTGTTGATATAAGAAAGTCGGAGCAGAGTCACTGTCAGGCTGAATTCTTGTTGACGCGTTTCTTCTGAATTGAGTCCCGCTTATCAAGCAAATTTCCTTCATTGTGCCAACCATGAAGGACGGTTTCAACCGTAGGCTTACTTGGCGAACTCATTTAATTAAAACCTAAATATTTTCAAAGCAATTTCAGGATAAAACAACGTACTAATTTTAAAACTCCATTTATTAGAGATAACACAACAGCTAACAATACATTGGGTTTGCGACTCGTGTCACAGAGGAGCTGAGGTGGAAGAAATGAAAAATGAAATTAACATTATTCTAGAGGGGCCACTTAAGTCATCATTTGTAGTACACAACCTCGTTTCTTGAACTCAAAGCATCAAGAAACTCTATTTTTACTAACTATACATGATACTTAGCAGGCATTCAATCCAGAACAAATAATTTTAGGACAGACAGGAGCCACGGTGATCGTGAGGATGAAACAGTGCTCATAAAAATATTCATGATGAATGCAAAAAACGAAGCAAATTGCTACTGGACTTAAAAAACAAACAATTAAATCCAGAAGCAAATGAAAGTTGGTTAAATATAAGCATTTAGCGACTAGGAACAGAGACTCTATACTTCCCTTCAGCGCGGAGTAACCAACTCCCCAAATATTCATGTCTGAAAGCATGAAAAACATTTCGCTATACGACAGCCAAAGAAAATCTAACAGAAACGTTTAATGTCAAGTGCAGCCACGGGCTCTCCGGCTGCCAATAATAGCAATGCAAATCACTTGCTGTAGGAGAGCCAATAGTTAGGCAATGATTGGCCCGATGACAAGTGAGTAAATTCAGCGTGACGGTTCCTTCAGAGCTGCAGCCTCTTCAAATACCTTAAGATAAGTTAATAGAAGACTAACTTCGCGCTATACTACAGCTACAGGGGCATACATAACAGAACGCCTTCTAAAACCGCTACACACTCCCATAAAATGATAAATTCAATGCAACAAAACAAATAAGAAATCATTACCCAAACAAGTTCGTCTTTTAACATACATTGGGCCTTTACCGTTGAAATCGACGCCTTGTTTTTCATCGTTTGCTTTTAGTCAGCTCGTACACTTACTTAATACATTAGCAATACTTTAAGTAGCATTATTTAGGTCACTAGCATTCGGTGAGAGCAGACCTCCTCTATACGAGTAATGATTGCCAACATGTCTGTCAGTACACGAGATGGTCGCTTGAATGCTTAACATTATTGCACCTCAAACACCGCAAGGCAGCGCAGCCAGCACAACCCAGCTACTAAGCTACACAAAAAAAATCAAAGTGACGGGGAAAATCTTCGGCCAGTAACTAGTGCGTGACATAAATTGGTTTTGCATTTTTGCATAAATAAAACTGCCGCAAATCATTTAGAGTTATAAAGCTTGTCGCCTCTGATATAACAGAATGTGAGCAGGAGGCAAAGCAACTATCCATTAATCCTAATAGGCAGGAAGATATTGCCGGTATATGATCGGCCGGCAATATTTCAAACAATCAGTTGAGTAAAGGAGATATCGAGCGAAGCGCAAGGTTGTAGGAAGAGGTTCGCCGAGTGTATCAACTTAGGAGACTTTGGGGCTGATTTCTAAAGCAGACTAATTCATAGTTTCCATTTAAATATATTTGAGATAACATTGATTACGCTTAGATTCAGGCCACTTATCAAAAGTGTTGGGAACTTTGCGCAATACAAGTAGGCATGGAGCATCACACTCTGGGGAAAACAACTCACTGAGGACATAAGATGATGAATATGATGCTACTCATTACGGAGATAACGATCAACTCATCACATATTTGTTCCAGAGAGTGCTGACCATAGGGGGTCGTTTCGAGTTTTTGCAAACAAATCAAACAAACAGAAAAGAACAGAGATCATCCAAATGGCGAAGTTACTCCTCCATTCTAGTCTTCCTCTGAAGACTAGAATGACTAGTCTTCCTCTGAAGACTAGAATGACTAGTCTTCCTCTGAGGGCTAGAATGACTAGTCTTCCTCTGAAGACTAGAATGACTAGTCTTCCTCTGAAGGCTCGGTGCCGAAGTAGCGATCGCCGAAATTTCCGATGCCAGGGACAATGTAGAATTTGTCGTTGACGCTCGGATCGATGGCGGTCGTCACGATTTTCACTTTGGGGAAAGCGTACGCTATGTTGTGCACACCTGCGGGCCAAAACACTTCAGTGTACACCGTTTACGAGGTGAATGCATTTAATTCAGCTGTGCTCGTCTTCATAATGGTGAGATAAACTCATCCAAACATCTGGATGAGGATATTTGCAGTCCTGTAGCATAAAATTAAAGATGTTTGGATGCAATAGTTGTACATATATTTACTATGAGCTTTTTTGCAAAAAGATTAACTTCTTAAACTTTTTAGTTGAAAATTGCTTTTCTGGGATGGAAAAGACGAAAGTCCTAAGAAAAACCCAGTCTCAAAAATTCAAGAAAAAAATAATTCTAGATAATAGCTTAACAATGAATGTATGATGGTCGGAAAAATCAGATTTCAAAAATTTAAACCAAACGAATCTCTACTTAAATAAACAACAATGATTTAGAGTTCATCATATGTAAGATTTCATCTGCGAAAAAAGAAGCATAAACAACTGTCAAAGTCTTACGATACCCTTAAATAAAGACACTAAAAGATAAGATTTAGACTGACCTTGTTCAGTCATGAGCAGCGAACAGAGGGAGATGTTGTCCTCCGGTACGTCGTGGTCGAGGAGTACCTTGATGGCCATCATGGCGGCCGCTCCAGTGGCCACCGTCGCGTCCATCACAAACAGCTGGTAGTCCTTGATGTCCTTCGGCAGGCGCAGATAGTACAGCTGAACAGAGGACAAATTTAACTAAGATTACAGACAGAAATTAGGCTGTCAACGTCGAGTTCTGACATCACACAATACGAGGGAAAAAATATCGTTTTATAAACTTGAAAAGCAGCAGCAACCTGGGCTTGATTGGGACGAATAAATTGAGGCATTCTAAGTCATAATTCTTGTCCGTGAAGAAATCACAATGCGCAGAAATTTTTAACAACATCTAGAACCTTAATTTAATTCTATTCACAGATTCTAACACCCTGAAATTGAACCGTTTCATGCAAAAGGATAAGAAACTTAAGTTCAACATAAATAATGGTTCCGAATACATAATTCTTCATCAAGTTTAGTCTGTTTGTTGCTTAAGGCTTGGTTACAAGTAACGGACAAAGGTTAAATATACAACCGAAAGTAACTCTCGACACAACACGAGATTCCAAGTCTCACAAGGCCTGGTTACTAATAGCGGACAAAGGCTAAAGACAACCGAAGAAACTCACGACACAACACGAGATATCAAGTCTCACAAGACCTGGTTACAAGAAACAGATAAAAGCTAAAGATAAAACCGGAAGTAACTCATGACACAACAGGAGATATGAAGTCTCACATTCCCTGGTAACTAATAACGGACAGAGGCTAAACATAGAGCCCGAAGAACCAAAAGATACGCGAGATATCAAAGTTGCACCTCAGGCTCGCCCGTCTCCTGGTTGGTTTGGATGAGGATCTTGCCGATGCGCACGTCCTTGAGGACGTCACAGAGAGCTCCTTCCATGGTCTCCCCGGCACGCAGGATGGACACGCCGCACAGACGCTCCGTGGCGATGCGCTTACCTGTGTACGGCACGCCCTGCGGGGTGTCCACGCACACGTCCTGTACAACGAAGGACAAGTTAAGCGTTCAAAGAATCAGCGAATAAACTATCGATGTTTAAATGAGTCAAAGGCCGTTAAAAAAGTACAACGTTAGTAGCAGTGATCAGTCATTAAAGGATGCTTACTTTTAAAATTTGGTCCAATTTTCCCAAGATGATGACCGTTCAACCAGCCTGGATGGCATTTCAATCTTACTTTGGCGAGTAAATCGGTGCTCTGTAGCCAGCAACAATGCCTGGTAGTCCACCTCTTTATCCTCATAATAAACGCTATGGCATATAAAAATCTAGCGCAAAAGGAGCGCTGCAGAGGGAAGAGTTACCCTGAAGGGGAGCAGCGTGAGGGCGTGCTCGATGACCAGCCTGATGAGGCGCTTGCTGTAGAAGATGAACTCGTCTCGCGGCGTCTCCTTGTTGCGGATGAAAGTATGCAGGCCTCGCACCTGATAACATTACAGTTAATAGTCACTTGCATCAACCTGATCATATTACAGTTAATAGTCACTTGCATCAACCTGATAACATTACAGTTAATAGTCACTTGCATCAACCTGATAACATTACAGTTAATAGTCACTTGCATCAACCTGATCATATTACAGTTAATAGTCACTTGCACCAATACTCACTGCTTTATCTGAACAAATGTACAGTCCAAGACGAGCATTTGAATATTTGACTTACGGTATATGAGATGAAATATGACTCAAGAATTAGGATGTACATAGTTTGAAGTTTCAGTAATTTACAACATGATATAACTCAATAAATATGTTCTCAGTATCATACTTATAATTGTCTTGTCAATAAAATTAAGAATGCGAAGTAGTTTTTGATGACCCATAAAGCATTCGCCTACAACTAGCCGATTATAGGCTTCCTCTAACAAGCGGAACTACACAGAGAAACTGCAGCGCTCGGAGGAAAGAAAGTACATTGGAAAGTACATTGGAAAGTACATTGGAAAGTATACATCGGAAAGTACATTGGAAAGTACTAAGTACATAGGAAAGTATACATTGGAAAGTACATTGAAAAGTACAAAGTAAATTGGAAAGTATACATTGGAAAGTACATTGAAAAGTACAAAGTACATTGGAAAGTATACATTGGAAAGTACATTGAAAAGTACAAAGTAAATTGGAAAGTATACATTGGAAAGTACATTGAAAAGTACAAAGTACATTGGAAAGTACATTGAAAAGTACAAAGTACATTGGAAAGTATACATTGGAGAGTACATTGGAAAGTTTACAACATGAGCGCACGAGCTGCGTCCAGCAGGCGCGTATGTACACCACCAGGACCTGCCTCCTCACCTGGGGCGTGGACGGCAGAAGGTGCAGGCTGCACGGCCGCGCCTCACTGAAGTTCACGTGGGCCAGCTTCTCGCGCAGCTTGAAGCCTCGCTGTCAAATAAAACTAATTAATTGCGAATTTCTTCTCATGAGCATGATCACATTCAGTAAACAAGAGTACAAGACTAAAGAATAATAAAGAAAATTTACCAGTGCTACTTCAGAAAACGATCATGTTCAAGCACAGGACCCACTGCTTTTTGTGCCTCTGAAAATTCATCTAGTAACAACCCAGCAGAACCATTTTCACAAATTGATTCAAAGGCAAAGTATTTATTACTTTATGGTCGCGTAAGTTAATTGACTAGGAACCATTATTGAAACGGGACAGGTTCTAAACTGAATGTGAAATTTCCTAATTAATTTTAAATACCAAACTATTAGGTTGCAACGTATCGCAAGTAGCCGGTGTTGCAAATGGTTATATTGTTGATAAACAATGCTTGTAGAAAGTTCTGCTAATAAAAAATAAGAATATTTGTGACCTGCGTGAGCTGCGTCATGACGTTCTGCGCGATGAGGTTGATGGCGACCTCGTTCTCCCCGCCCCGCGGCACGATGATGTCCGCGTGAACCTGCCACAACACACGCAATATTGAGCACTGGTACAGAGTACACAATGTACAGGCGTAAGGTAAACTAATAAGCTATACACAATATTAAGCACTGGTACAGAGCATAGTGGCAAAGCAGAGAGTTTTTTAGATTTAGACTCTCCCTCAAGTTCAATTTTGAGTACTATAAGTAGAACAGTAAAGTATCATGGATACCAGCATAATCATAGTACATAAGAAAATGGTTTAAATATTGGGTAAATAAGGAAATTTAAAATGAACTGATTCCAAAAAATCTCTGGTTTTCTCTGGTTTGCCACTATGGTACAGAGTACACAATGTACAAGCGTAAGGTAAGCTGATACGTAAGCTACACAATATTAGTCACTGGTACAGAGTACACAATGTACAGATGTAAGGTAAACTAATAAGCTACACAATATTAGTCACTGGTACAGAGTACACAATGTACAGGCGTGAGGTAAACTAATAAGCTACACAATATTACTCGCTGGTAAACATTGTAGCTAAATTACATAACCACAGAAAACTGAAATTCAATTTCCAATCATTTTTTAAACTAAGTGAACTGATCGCAAAAGAGAAACTGGATTCATTTCTCTAGTCGAATAACGTTTACACAAGAACTTCTCAGTATGTTCATTTCTTTATCTATATTCCGAGATCCTTATTACTTCAGGAAAGTTATTAGATTTATTATTTCCACAAATTACAGCGCTCTGTATACTAGAGCTTCGCCAGAATAAACAAATTCAAGACTTGACAGAAAAAAATTCCATCATAGAACGTGAATAAAAACAAAATTTCCAATAACGCAATATAGATAAGAATAAACCTTGTGATGATGAGTTACCATGGAGGGAGCGATGTAGTAGTCGAAGGCAGGCTTGACGAACTTGAAGTATTGCTAAGAATAAACCTTAAGACGATGAGTTACCATGGAGGGAGCGATGTAGTAGTCGAAGGCAGGCTTGACGAACTTGAAGTATTGCTTCAGTACGCCGTCTAGGTCTCGTCCGCGTCTGCTGATGTCGCGCGTGAGGCGGCGCACCAGACGCTCGTCGCTGTCAGTCTCCACGAACACCTTCATGTCCAGCAGCTGGAGGGGGATATATTGTATGGCATCACGCTTATTTAGGAGCATCTTAACACTAATCTTCCTAAATATATTGTAGGGCATCATGCATGTTTAGGAGTACCTTAACACAATTACTTATCTTCCAAACAATCATGGAGGGAATCATGCAAAGATAGGAGCATCTTAACACTAATGTTCCTAACCATCATGTAGGGAATCAGTCAAACATAGGAGCATCTTAACACTAATGTCCCTAACAATCATGTAGGGAATCATGCAAACATAGGAGCATCTTAACACTAATGTTCCTAACCATCATGTAGGGAATCAGTCAAACATAGGAGCATCTTAACACTAATGTCCCTAACAATCATGTAGGGAATCATGCAAACATAGGAGCATCTTAACACTAATGTCCCTAACAATCATGTAGGGAATCAGTCAAACATAGGAGCATCTTAACACTAATGTTCCTAACAATCATGTAGGGAATCATGCAAACATAGGAGATCTTAACACTAATGTTCCTAACAATCATGTAGGGAATCATGCATATGTAAGAGCATCTTAACCCTAATCTTAATAAATATCACATGTCGAACAAGCGAGTCCACAAACATAAGCTGTGGAAAAACCACTGGAGCGACAACAAAAATATAAAAAAACATTCACAGATGAGAAGTTCAAATCTTTATTCACAGGCAAAAAGCTAGAAACTACAGCCAACAACACTCAAGGAAAGAAATACAGCAAAAAACAGTTTATGTATTTTTCATTAGATTTTTGCCCTATGGGCAGCATATGCAGCTTTCGTCTATTAGCCAGAAGAAGAAAACTGCAGCCAGGCAACAGGAATCTCGGAATGTAAAGACTTGACATTACCCACCATGCACCATTACATTACATTACCCACCTTAACAAGCTCCGGAGAGTAAAACGCTAAAATCCCTTCAAAGATGATGACGTTGGCACCATACATGGTTTTCTGTGAGGAAAATAACAAATTTAGGCTGAATAATTTTTATTTCAACAGGCATGATTTTCCAGTTAAAAAAAAGAATCCTAATCAATGAACTGTAGAATAATTAAATTCAAATGCAGACAAAATCTTTCACATATGAAATTTGAACTTTAACTATCAATCATTAGTGTGTCGAGTCAAGGATTCAACACTTCCTGAATTACAAATATGCATTTATTTACAATTAAAAAGAGCAATAACTCTGACTTCAACATTTAGGTACCAATTATTGGCAATGATGAAAACGAATGGATGCAAAATTGCAATAAAAATTTATAACAACTGATGTTAATTACGTAGACTTGATAAGCTACAAGGCGATGTGATCTAAGCCCGTGACGAGTCACTCACAGTTTTAATGAAGCGTCACGTTAATGAAGCGTCACTCACAGTTTTAATGAAGCGTCACTCACAGTTTTAATGAAGCGTCACGTTAATGAAGCGTCACTCACAGTTTTAATGCTGTCTCTTATACACATCTAGATGTGTATAAGAGACAGGNTTTTAATGAAGCGTCACTCACAGTTTTAATGAAGCGTCACTCACAGTTTTAATGAAGCGTCACTCACAGTTTTAGCTTCTCTTCTGTGCGTGAGAAAGTTGTCACTCACAGTTTTAATGAAGCGTCACTCACAGTTTTAGCTTCTCTTCTGTGTGTGAGGAAGTTGTAGATGGGGACCTCAACCTTCTTGCCCTCCTTGAGGCGCTTCAGCGTCTTGATCACCAGCTCGAAGTCGAAGGCGTCGGGATGGTCAAAGTTGTACTCGTTACGCTCGGCTTCTTCGTGTTGTTTGGGCGAGAGAATCTGGGCATACATTGAACGTATATATGCATAAATTTTATACATTTTTTTGCTGTAATTCTCACAGTTCTGAATAAAGGAAGCATATGGGAAATGTGTTCCAACATTCCTATTGCATACGGTACTCGCTAAGGATTAGGCATCAATTTTTTATAATGAGTTCATAAACAATGATACATTTTAAATACTTGAATTTTTACTTGCATATATTGGGTATGAGTGTAACAAGACATTCGCTGCAATTCTTCAACATAGTCACCAGGGCCAGAACTATGCAGCAAAACGCCGGTAAATACCTTCTCTTAAATATAATTATTTGAATATTTTATTCCTTGGTCAAACAATTGGGAATTAATGACATTTCTTTCTCGTTTTTAAACGAACGAAACGTTTAAAACTGCAATTAAAGTGCAGTTTTTATTCAGAAAAGTTAGAGATTCAAAAGGAGCACGTTAAAAATACTAAAACCAGCAAAATGGTAAAACTTGGTACAAATGGCAGGCCTTAATGATGAACGACACAAGACAACTGCTACCGCAGCAAGGTCAGACTCTTATGTTACTGAGGCGGTCACGCCAGACGCGACTGAACAACTAAACTGACGGTACATACTAGAGGACTCATTAGATGAATAAAGAAAGATCATCATAATGAATATGAAGTAAATGTACCTTTCTTAACAAGCCATCTTCTCTGATATTGGCTATTTTCACATAAGAAGAGAAGAAAATGTTGCTACCAGTCAGCCTAAGGAAACATTCATGGAAGGAAATGCAAGTAATCTTGCCTGCATAATATCTCAACCCCACTATCAAGACCCACGATCATGTGCAGCGAGCTATATCCAAAGGCGCTCAATGCATCCCCAGGTAATGAAGACATGTTTCAGAAAAATTGCCTGAGAAGACTCGTCCATAACACTATCATTATCACAATAGCAAAACACTAAACTTTGCAAAGGTTAGACTTTTAAAATTTGTTCATGCAAAATATGAGTTGATAGTCAAATCAAGTCAAAGACTTGGCAGAGCCATTCTGAGTTGGTAAATGTTAAGGCAAGCAAAGAGCAAGAAATACAGGAATAATATTTGTACTAGAGAACCATTAGACGCACCTTATAGAAGCTGTCAAGGGAGAGCAGAGTCACCCACTGCACGTCTAGCTCCTCGATGATCTTTTGGGCCACCGTAGTCTTGCCAGAAGCGCTGCCACCACACACACCTAAACATGTAGCAGGGAAATGTCAATCAATGAATGATCAATGCATGTAAAAGCACTAAATATAACTCAGTACTCACTGCAGTGAGTGACAGAGAGCGCATTTTCTCATTGACGAAAACTTGAGGTCACGGACGGACAGACAAACATGGCGAGCACAATAGTGCATTTATTCCATAAATGAGAAAATGCGCTAAAAAGCCAACAAGTATAGGAGAATTCAGGAAAAATGTCTGAATATTGCAGCAACTTTCTAAAAGTAGAAGCAATGCAGATGAATGGATAGACAAATATTTTCGATAACAACTCCAGAATACATCAACAAAAAAAAAAGTTCAAACTGAGGAATAATTAGAAATATCATCAGAGTAAAAATTGTGCAAATTACTTGATATTGTCAAAAGTGATGATATTTATGTGGAAGATACAGGCAAACAAAATATTTGATAACCAGGGCTATTTCAGGTCATTTCAGAAAATATTTAAATAAATTTAGATGGTATCACAATTGGAAGTATTAAAACAAGTGTAGAATCAGAGTTTAATTTCAATTCAAAACCGGATGGGTTCCAAATGATTGATTTACTCATCCAGACTTCCCTACTGCACAAGTTCAGTTAAGACGTCAACAAATAAATGCCATAAAGGCGCCACCAATAACTAAGGGCTTACCAATAACAAAGGGCTTACCAATAACTAAGGGCTTACCAATTACAAAGGGCTTACCAATAACAAAGGGCTTACCAATAACAAAGGGATAACAAAGGGCTTACCAATAACTAAGGGCTTACCAATTACAAAGGGCTTACCAATAACAAAGGGCTTACCAATAACAAAGGGCTTACCAATAACAAAGGGCTCAACCATCTGGCCTTGAGCATCATACCATGGAGGGCGACCACTTGTGTATATGGCTTGCCTCTTGCCCCGCAGTATTGGCTCTCGGCTCCGGCAAGTGGTTGAGTTTGTCCCTGATAGCGACGTAGATGATGTGCGCTGCCGTCGTGTTCTAGGAGACCGAACTTGACCTGTGAATGGAATGAGAATTTTGTATTGTGCACTCACTTTCATTGCAATTGTATATATACTGAATTCAACCTCTCTTGTGAAGCAATAATATTAACAAAACCATTATTTTCAAACTAATGTACTGGAATATTCACTCTTGGATACAATTATACTTGAACAAATGTGCCAAAGTTGAAATAACTCTAAACATTTCCTTAATCGTAAGAAACTCACATAACACTAAGCTCCCACTCAGTCATGAAACTAATCAAGAAGATGCCTACCAAGAAGGCCTTGCTGCTTGAGAGGAGTGGCAGGTTTAGAGTGCGGAGTGGGCGACATGTGCCCAGGAGTGGACACTCCTTCAGTTGCAGGGAGTGCATCTTCAAAAGTCTGCTCATCGTCCACAGGCATTGCCTCTTCACCAGATCCACTGCTGTCAGCATTATTTAACTGGGGACTCCCAGGATTCCTGCATGAATGACAGATTCGCTCTTAATGGATAAACATCAGGACAGAAATCAACAGTCTAGTTTTAGCTATGGCAAGAATATCAATTAGCTATGGCATTAACATCATATAGATGTGTTTTGGGAGGCTACAATGATAAAAATGAATTGGGCATTCCAGGTATCTCAAGTAGTGATGGTTTGTCAATGAGGAACCAACTGTTCCTCTATTTTCCAACCCACATATATTTTGCCAAGTCTTATACTCCAGGCCTAACCTTCCAGCTGGTTCTAAGCAAGCTGGTTCTAAGTTACAAGAAAATCACATTGCAGGATGTCAAGATCAAGGTGGTAACAAACCTAGTAGCAGTACAGATTTCTAGCTCATGATCTTGCACATCTCTCCCTTGGTTGGAGATCAAGGTGGTAACGAACCTAGTAGCAGTACAGATTTCTAGCTCATGATCTTGCACATCTCTCCCTTGGTTGGGTGCCGGACATTCCCCATCACTTGCAGAGTGGTCAGCAGCCATGTGAAGAGCATCATTTTCATCACCACTGAAATAGGTTCAAAATACACATACACATTGAAAAAAGTGTTGATTTGGTGATGTGTCATCAATGCCATATAAATATTTCAGTTTACAAGAAGAGATTTTTTGCTCCAAAATTACTTTGTTAGGTTTCAGTTAGATAAAAGGTTGTCCCAAGGGTTACTTTTTTGACCAGTCCAACATTTTTCTTGCCATTTTTGAAGCTAATTTAATAAGCAAGTTATCAACTCACACCTCAAACAATAAAAATATAAATTTTCAGATAAATAACATCAGACTATTCTTATTGTATTGTGCATATGTACCTTTTCCCTCAGTTTTTATTTGAAACACAAATACTGACAAGTATAGCAGTTATTTACATTTGTTACTCTCTCAAGCTTCATCCAATCCTAACATAATAAAATCAAATCTATTTAATTTACCAGGCACTGCAATGGGCATTGTCACAATTTATTATCCTAGTCATGGGTTCAGTTATACATTTTCCTCAAATTTATTCATATCCTGACATCAATAGTCCTTAGGCAAGCCTTCAGAGGGATTTTTTTATTGAGGCTAAAATGAAATGCAAGCAGAGGCAAAATTGAACAATGGTCCAATTTTCTTGCTGTTATTTGAATCAATTGAAACTGAAATAAAGCAACCATGGATCCAGGACATCACAGTATGCTGGGAGTATACAGTAACTTCAAGTTGAATTGAAAGCAGCATGGTTAAGCATGCCCCTTCTAAGTGGAGAGCAATGTTACTTCCAGAGATTATATTGAGCAATCAAAAGTGAGAACCGTAATACAAAAAGAAGATATTAAGGAAACAGTTACAGGTCAAAGTGTTTAGTTGGTAAGCCTATTTTTATATTGACTTCATGTTTTGCTCTAAAATTGATACGTGGATTGAATGACATTTGACTACATATATGTAACTAGTTAATGGCTTTGTTCTTTGATTTAGCTTATGCTTGATATGAAATTGTTTCATATCCAGGAATTTTCATCTCTTCACTTTTGCTCCATCAGCAACATTTAGATAAATTATACAAATCATGAGCATGAAAAGTGCACAAGCATTGCAGCAATAGATCTACAATGTCATATTATGCATACATTGTGTACTCAATGAAGCACAGTAGAGTGACTTGCATTTTTATTTGGAAAAGAATCTACCGGTAGTCAACATTAATACAAGGACCTTAAGATCAATGCAGTTGATAATATTTTTCTTACAGACACCATGTCATCAGCCTCTATGTGCCAGTGGCAGTGGATGTAGTGTTCATTGTACTGTAAAACGGGGTAATAAGGGACGGTTTTGAGCATTTTGTGTTACTAACTTCTTACCATGAAACATTTCATAAACAAGTTTGAGCTCATTTTATAGCTCTTTGTGAGGCTATCATATGGCATCTTCAAAAAAAGTCCATATGCTATTCATGAGGTGACAGATGCAAAATAAAAGCATTTCGAATTACCCCTGGGAATAGGGTAATCCAAGACACTTGAAATAAAACTCAATTACAAAATGTTTGAAGCATGCACAGTGTACCGTCAAACGGGGTAAAAAGGGACAGGCGGGGTAATAAGGGACAGTCCCCCAACATTTTGTAGAAATGTTGTAGCTAAACTAATTAAAATATTGCAAAACTAAAAATAGTGATGTAAAATTCAACATTTTACTATCTATGCAGCATAAAGCAAGTTGAGAAATCATACATTTATTACCTCTACAAAATCCATGAAAAAAGTGTGAAAAGTGAGATTTTGGAAAAGTACCTCTGCTGTCTGAAGCAGAAAATATATTTGTCGTCTTAAAAAAATTTTCTTACATAAAAGTTGCACACTAGTGTTGGCTTAAAAATATGATTGACAGAATTTGCACATCTCATTCCAAGAAAAAATGGTGGCCATTTCTGTAAAACAGGGTAATAAGGGACACCTCCCCTGGGGTAATAAGGGACACCCCTAAAATTGCATTTACAGTAGATCCTTGGTTAGCAAAGGCTCCAGTTAATGAAAAAATCAATTAACAACAAAGAATTTTGATTACATTTACCTCGCTAAGTGAAAAAAATTTTACTTAATAAAAAATTACCGCATCAGTAATCACAAAATTGTGCATAGAATGTCACAGATAGAATTGAGCACTGAGCAACAAAGAATGAAAAGTAATTAACCTAAACTATGATTTATTTCTCCAAAAAATATGATGGTTGTCGCTAAAATATTCCTTCCTGTTTCAGGTATGTTTTTTACAATCTTTTTTGTTATAGTGAAATCACTTGACTCAATTAAAATTGTGCGAAATTGCAAGCCATCCAGCAAGCTTACAGATACAGAAGAAATGCTACTGGCTGCTGACATGAAGCTTGCAGTGGACAAGGTAGTTGTCAATGCTCAAAGACATGTCCATGGATACAGTAATATCACATTAATAATACGGTCATTAATGAATATGGTAATATCATATCAATAAAGGAAAAACAAGTAAAATCACAGAAAATGTCATTTATTTTACATTTACATCATCTATAATGAAAGAGGAGGACTTCAAAGTACTGTTAGTAATGGATAAGTACACTCTGCATACTTCAAACGTTTTAAAATTAACTTTTATTGCAAGTGTCCCGGATTACCCCGTTCCCAGGGGTAAATCGGGACGATTTTATTTTGCATCTGGCACCTTACAAATAGCATATGGAATTTTTTTAAAGATGCCATTGGATAGCCCTCGCAAAGAGCTATAAAATGAGCCTAAACTTGTTTCTGAAATGTTTCATGGTAAGAAGTTATTAACAAAAATGCTCAAAACCATCCCTTTTTACCCTGTTTGACGGTACTCTGAAGTCCTCCTCTTTCATTGTAGATGATGTAGAGGTAGAATAAATGACATTTTCAGTGATTTTTTACTTCTTTTTCATTTATTGATATGATATTACCATATACATTAACTACCGTATTATTGATGCAATATTACCATATCCATGAACATGCCATTGAGCATTTACAACAACTTGTCCACTGCAAGCTTCATATCAGCAGCCTTATAGCATTTTTTCTGTATCTGTAAGCTTACAGGACGGCTTGTAATTTCACACCATTTTAATTGGGTTAAGTGAATTTACTATAAAAAAGATTGTGAAAAACATACTACCTGAAACAGAAAGGAAGGTTTTAGTGACAACCATCATAGGTATGTTTTGAAGAATAAATCATAGTTCAGGTCAATTACTTTTCATTCTATGATGCCTGGTGCACAATTCTATATATGACATTCTATGCACAATTTTGTGATGACCGATGATGCACTAATTTTTTGATATGTGAAATTTTTTTCGCTGAGCAAGGTAAATGTAATCAATTTTCTTTGTTTTTAATCAATTTTTTTCTTAACTGTAGCCTTTGCTAACTGAGGTTCTACTGCAATGCGTTTTTGGGGGTATCCTGAATAGCCCCAAGGGGGTGACCCGAGTAGCCCCGCCATGCAGAAATTGCTGCCATTTTTTTTTGGATTGAGGTATGTAAATTCCCCAAATGAAGTTTTCATGCTGACACTTGTCTGCCACTTTTTTCTAAGTGAAATTTTTTAAAACAGCAAATATTTTTTCTACTACGGTAGACAGCGCTTCAAAATTGTAATTCCGACACCCTGTGTTGGAATTCCAACACCCTGTGTGAGCTGTGTCATAATAGAACACACGGTTGTCACGGCTGTGTGTCATAATTTTGACACCGTGTCGGAATTACTTTTTATGCGTCTATAACTGTCTCTTAACTTAATCATCTATTAACTTATTTACCACTTGAAATCAGCAAATACAAGTATACTTAAAGGATTCCTAATATATTCACAGACTTATTTAAAAGTCTCAAACCATAATATTCTTTCTACACAAAGACAAACAGTTCATCACTATTTGGTCAAGCAAGGTCAACTACCTATCAACTTTGACAATTATTTTGATGTTCTCGCTAGTCGTTAGGTGAGGTGCACTGTCTCTCTTTGGATCTCAACATTTTCCTGCCAGACGACCCAGACCTAGTGTTTTGGCAATAGTATGGCATGCAATAGTATGACGTCACTATTTCAACCATCAACGAATGTGTGAAACTAAGACAAAGCTTAATATAAAGGAAAAAGTTGAGAAAGGTGAGAAGTGTTGGAATTACCCACGAGGTTGGAATAGGCCTATACCGCGTCTCATAGTGGCAAAGCAGAAAGTTTTTTAGACTCTCCCTCAAGTTCATTTTTGAGTCCTATAAGTAGACCAGTAAAGTATCCTGGATACCAGCATTATCATACTTAAGAAATTGGTTCAAATCTTGAGTAAATGAGGAAATTAAAAATGAACTGATTCTAAAAAAGCTCTGGTTTGCCACTGTGCCGCGTCTACCCTACGTTTTTTATAGCCATTCATTTTTTGCTACTTCCTTAAGCTTAAAGTATATAAACTATATATACCGCATTTACCCTATGTTACAACTTACAAGTTTACAACTGTGCAAACTGCAAAGGACTGTAAATTTGTAATCAGTGTAATGTTTTAATATTTGTAAATTGTAGGGTAAACGCGGTATATTCCGACATCGCAGGTAATTCCATCACTTCTCTAGTTTTTCCTTTATATTAAGCTTTGTTTTAGTTCCATGCGTTCATTGATGGTTGAAATGGTGACGTCATACATTTGCGTGTCGAAATACTGCAAAAACACTAGGTCTTGGCCATCTAGCGGGAAAATATTGAGATCCAAAGAGAGACAATGCATGCCCATGGTGAGATCATCAAAAAATGTGTCAAATTTGACAGTTGACATGGCTCTACCAAATAGTGAATAACTGTTTTTATAGGAAGAATATTATGGTTTGAGACTTTTAAATACGTCTGTGAATATATTAGGAATCCTTTAAGTATACTTGTATTTGCTGATTTCAAGTCGTAG